CGCTTGAGCTTCAGCCGCTCGCAAATCCAGGACCCGAGCTCCGACAATCCCTGATGGGGAAGGTCTCACCTGACGCATACTTCCTGGGAGCTGCTGGTTGCTTGCTTCAGGCTGCGCCTCTGTGCCCGAGTGAGCTGCGCGCCACTCATCAACCTGCATTCGGAATTGTCTGAGCAGGGCGTGGGGAAGGTACTGGATGCCACCGTGTACCGCCCAGCAACGCCCTTTCCAGATTCGCCAACACAAGAACACAACTTCTGCCACTTGTAATTTAGATAATCTCAAAGAGAAAAAAAGGTTAATCCAAGCTTCCTCCATAGGCAGCCCCGCCAATTTAGAATGGACGTCCCCTAAGCCAGCCAATGTCCAAAGGGGTTGCGTCGCCCTGCAATGAAAAAAGCAATGAGCAAATGTCTCTGATGCTTCCGAGCATACTGGACAGGATGGAGATGCCACAAGCGTCTTTTGCAGAAGAATTGTTTGGATGGGGAGGAACCCCCTAACCACCCGCCAGAAGAAGAATTTGAGCTTCGGCGGCACCGGGAGATTCCACAACACCTTCCAAAACCTGCAGTCAAATGGTAAGGGGTCAGGGGGATGCCTAGCATTTAGTTCAGTTGTGAGTAGGTGATACCCGGTTTTCACTGTATATTCCCCGGACGCGGAATAATGCCAAACCAGCCGATCATCTGCACTATGGAGGGGTAGAGGGATGCTCAAGATAGCATTAACGGACTCCGGCGTGAAGAGGTTGAGCAAAGCCCCACGTTTCCAGCTGCGGGTTTCACTACAAATGAGCTCCTCCACACGTTGTGGCCAAGAGAGGACACCAGGCAGCAAGCTGGGAGTAGAAGGGGGAGTGGTGGGCAGCCATACATCTTCCAGAACCCGCACTGATTGCCCCGAACCAATCTGCCATCTCAGGCCACGTTTGAGAAGATCCCGGCCCTCTAGAACACCTTGCCATGCCCAGGAGGCCCTGTACCCTGCTTCAGCGTCTAGGAAGTGCCTGTGTGGATGATATCTTGCTCTGTAAATCTGGGCTAAGCAGCTGCCCGGATTGAGAAGAATTCGCCATGCCTGCTTAGCAAGGAGAGCAACATTGAATCTGTTAAAATCCCTAAAGCCCAGCCCCCCTGCAAATTTGCTTTGGCAAGCTGCCGTCCATGACAGCCACCTAATCCCGTTTTCTTTGTCTTACCCCGACCACCAGTACTTGGAAAGGAGGCCATTGCAACGCCGGCACGTGGTGGCTGGAAGGCGAAAGGCGGACATTGCATACACCGGACCTGCTGCCCCAACCGCTTTGATGACGATCTCTTTCCCGGCCATTGAGAGGGCCTTCGCTTTCCAACTCCTGACCCGGGCTGCCAACGCCTCTTCTACAAATTGGAATGTCAAGGACTTGGAACGGTGAACTTTGGAGGGGAGACCCAAGTATTTGTCCCCCATTCCCATCTCGCCGACCCCTAGAAAGGCTGTTAGAGCCTCAAACTCCTCTTGTGTCACATTTGCACTCACACACATGGAAGACTTATGCAAGTTGACCTTTTGCCCACTGATGACCTCATATTCCTGGAAAACATGAAGAAGATTAGCACATTCCGGTAAAGAGGCCCGGAGGAACAGATATGTATCATCAGCAAACATGAGATGAGAAGTAATGGGTGCTCTCCTGTGAACTCTTAGTCCGTGTAGGGACGAGGTAGAAATTTCTGACATTAATTTCGCAGAAAAGGCCTCTGTGTACAGCGCGAAGAGGAGCGGGGAGAGGGGGTCACCTTGACGGATTCCACGCTGCGGCTGGAAGTATCCGTACTCTATCCCATTCATGAGCACAGAGAACCTTACCGTGGAAATGCAGGAACGGATCCAGCGAATCCAAGTGGCCGAGAATCCCATGGCTGCCAAGACCTGTAACAAGAAGTCCCACTCCACCCGGTCGTACGCCTTTTCCATGTCCAGTTTGAGAGCCATCCATTTCTCCTTTCCCTGCACTTTAGTTTTTAAGAACTGCATAATTTCCTGCGCAATCAGAATATTGTCAGAAATAGAACGACCTTTGACAAAGCCATTCTGATAAGGATTAACCAAGTTCGGAAGAATCAAGCTTAGTCGACTAGCCAAGATTTTAGAAATTATCTTATACAAAACCTGACACAGGCTGATCGGCCTCATTTGTCTCATATTATCGGCATTGGGAACTTTGGGAATGAGGGCGATCCAAGTATGGTTTATGCTGTGAAGTAGCCGACCAGTACTGAAGAACGACAAGACCGCAGCACACACATCTTTCTCAATCTCTGGCCAGAATCTCTGATAAAACGCCCCTGTGAATCCGTCTGAACCTGGCGCCTGAGATTTGCCAATGGCAAATACTGCTTTACGTATTTCTTCTACAGTGACAGGAGCTGTAAGAGTTGCATTCGCCTCGTCATCAAGAACCCGAGGGAAGCAGAGTCCGCTGACATACTCAGTCGGGTCCACTCCTGAAGAAGTGAACAGGATCCTGTAATAATCGACCGCAATCGCGCCTTTCTCGTCCTCGAGCTGATGAGACACCCCATTTCCATCTTGCAAGGTCAGAATAGAATTATATCTCCTCCTGTTAATCAACGAGAGATGGAAAAACCTGGAATTTGAATCCCCAGTTCGCAGCCAGCCATTGCGAGATTTCTGCTTCCAGAAGATCTCTTCCTGTCTATAAGCCTCTCCTAGTTGAGTTTCCAAACCGTTAATATGATTCCAATCCACGTCTGCCTCCTCCTTGGCAAGTTCAATCCGGTTTTTCAAGTCAAAGATCTTCCGGGCAGAATTCGACGTCCCTTTCCTGGCCCATTCCACTAATCCGTGACGTAGATTCTTCAGCATGGATTGCACTCGAAATTGGGTTGTTCCATGGACCTCCTGCTGCCACGATGACTGTAAAATCGCTGGCACTTCCGGGTTAGAGGCCCAACGGATGTCGAAGCGGAACTTACGCCTTGGCTGAGATGGCGCCTTCAGGAAAGAGACCAGCAAGATCCTGTGATCCGACCCTATGTCCGAGAGATGCTTCACCTGCAGATCAGGCCACAAGGATAACACTAAAGAATTAGCTAAGCAGCGATCAAGACGTTCAATTATATGTCTATCCCCCGACTGCCTATTGGACCATGTAAAAGGGCTGCCTACACAACCCAAATCCGACAGATTAGAGTCCAAAAGGAAGTCTCCCAATTGATCGAAGGCAGCAGGGGTGAGAATCCGACCCCCCTGCTTCTCAGCCGATGACAGTAGACAATTGAAATCACCCAAGACTAAAGCAGGATGGACACACGACAAGAGGAAAACATTGATTTCATTAAGTTCAGCTTGCCTAGCATGTACATCGCAACTAAGGTGGACAAAGACTACTACAAACCGCCCAAGGGACGGATGCAAACATTCAACAACCAAATATGCATAAGCAGAATGTAAAACTGTACAGGACACAAGGTCGGACCAGCCTAATGCCAATCCCCCACCCCTATTTATTCCATGAAAAGCACGAGCATTCGAAAAACCTAAGCTACGGATATTATCTTCCACAAACCCATCATCTCGTCTTGTCTCACTAAGGAAAGTAAGAAAAGGGAGATGACCACGAATGGCGTCCCGTAAGGATGGAACTGTCAGGAGGGAGCCCAATCCCCGACAATTCCATGCCATGATGCTCATTTGGTTGATTGGGACCGATCCGGGCCGGTTGCCTCCACCCTTGAAATAGACACAGCATCTGCAGCAGCACTCTGGCTAGAAATCTTGGCCCTCTTGGCATTTGGCTCCGCCGGGTCAGCACCTTCTCCCCCTCTTGGCGACCCTGATCCAAGTACAGTAGGAGCCCCAGCCTCTGCCAATCCCCCTGATTCAATAGAGAGGTGACGCATCTTGTTGTGGACAACAATGGCTCCTGATCGGCTCGAGGAAGGTCCCCAAAGTGAAGCCTCGTTCTCGAGCTTCTCTTGCTTGCGAAACCAGGTAAACTTCCTCTTCCGATCAAGAGTACGTTCATCAACCCGGGGCCCTCTGTCAAGACTCACCGTGTGCACGCCATATCGGGCCGGCTGATCCCCCAATTCTTCTTTCCTTGGACATCGGCCACCAGTGTGTCCGATCACACCACACAAGTAACAGAATTGCGGCAGCCTCTCGAACTTTACAGCAGCAGTGAACCCACCTTTCCCAGCATCATCATGGGACGCCGGAACTTCAAAGGGCAGAGGTGCAGACACATCAACGCGGACTCTGACCCGCACATACAGGCCGCCCGTGTTCTCCGACTGGTGAATGGTCGCCGGGTCTGCTTCACCGAGAGAAGCTCCCAGCATGGATCCCAGGCGCTCAGTGCAGCAGGTGTAGGGAATACCCCACAATTGAACCATCAATGGTATGTTGAGGAGAGAATCGGCCAGGGCAGGGGATGGGATCTGCCAAGGAATGAGGTGAATCACGTATTTGGGCCTGAACCAAGGGGAGTTCCGCTTCACCCGGGTGAAGTCCTTACCAGCCGAGAAAACCACCTGGACTAAATCCCAGTCGAGCGGCACAATGGAGATCGCCGCCGAGCAATTCCACAGGCGCAGCAGGTCCGCCTTGAGGGCATGCAGCAGTGGTCGCGGCCCACAGACCCTCCCGATCAGCGTAAGCTCGCCGCGGTTTGCTCCCACCTGAACATCAGCATCAGAGAAACGGACCACCGCCATCGCGAAAGGAATTTGGGGAAAATAGGGATCTCCTTCTGCAACAATCAGTCCTACTGGAAACAATGAATTGAGGATGGGAGGGGATTCCCAGGCCCCGCATCGGCTATTTATGGGCTCCATGGCGGAGCTAGCCACTTCCGGCGACGCACGATGGCGGTTGCCGATATCGGCGAGGCGCACTCTGCGCAATAACCACCCCACTCGCCAAGAGAGAGGGGAGAGCAATCGGTTTCCCTTTTTTTTTTTTTTTTTTTTTTTCACTTCCCCAACAAAAACTCCAATCGTTTTTTTTTTTTTGTGTAATAAAATATTAAAATTCCAATCGTTGAGTGGGAGAGAACGTTATTCCTTCCCCTCGATTCTTCTTTTCTGTCGTGGAGAACCAACGAAAAGGAAAGCCGAAAGAGCGACGATCATGGGAAACGCCGGAAGCATCAACCGGCGGCAACATCACCACCACCACCACAACCATCACCCCTCGCACCACCACCAGCATTCCAATCGCCGCCACCATCCTCCTCCACCGCCGCCGCCTCAGGTCACCACAAGCCAATACGTCTTCGCCGCTCCGTCTCAGTACCCGAACCCTAATTTGCCGCCACCGCCTCCCTACTATCCCCACCACCACCACCGCCATCCTCCTCCTCAATCTCATCACGGCTATTACCCCCCGCCGCCGCCGCCACCTCAGCTCCCCGCTCCCCTTCCGGCCGCGCCGTACGTCGAGCACCAGAAGGCCGTCACGATCAGGAACGACGTCAACGTCAAGAAGGAGACGATTCGGATCGAGGAGGATGAGGAGAATCCCGGTAGCTTCCTCGTCGCGTTCACCTTCGACGCCACCGCTCCCTGCAGGTAAGCAATTTCAATTCTCTGTTCCTTTTCCCCTTCATTTTTCTCGTTCACCTTTCTCCAATTTTGATTGCAATTGATTTTAATCTCAGCATTACGGTGCTGTTCTTTGCGAAGGAGAGCGAGGACTGCAATCTCGTAGCGACGAGGGAAGACGTGTTCGAGCCGGTGACAATGTCGTTCGAGCAAGGCCTGGGGCAGAAGTTCAAGCAACCTTGTGGGACTGGAATCGATTTCTCGAAATTCGACGAGGTGCAGCTGAAGAAGGCGGGCGATGAAGGGGTCTACCCTTTGGTGCTGAAGGCTGAGGCTCGCCTGTCGCCGGCCACCAACGAGGGGTCAAAAGCTAGTAGCAAGAATGGCAATTCGCAGATCACATTGGCCATCTTTGATTGGAAGGAGAAAGGCGATGGTTACCGTGTTAGAGTAATGAAGCAGATTCTGTGGGTGAGCGATACGAGATACGAGTTGCAGGAGATTTATGGGATTGGGAATTCCGTGGAGGTCGAGTCCGATGGCGATGAGAGTGGGAAAGAATGTGTTATCTGCTTGACTGAACCTCGTGACACCACGGTCCTACCTTGCCGTCACATGGTAAGTTGCATTGCATTTTTACTCTGTTTCACATTACTGCCTGGAGTTTTTGCAATGTAGGTTAGTAAATGCTAGTGATCCCTCCCTTAATAGTTTACTAATCTCCTAGAATGCTTACTGATAATCCGATGGAGAAGTCTGCTATTCGGCCGTGTACTACTCACCGCTAATATAATGTTTACGTATACTACCATCATCGGATACCAATGCTTCCTGATCAGGTGCTGATAGAGTTTAGTAATCGACCCCCAGTAATGCTTACTAACATAACAACTTAACGAGTAATAATACTTCCTTCAATGATTGCTCAAAACGGCTGAGTGATCACTAACTCGTAATACGTTACTAATGACGTAATGAATCATAACATTACTATTTAATTGCTGCTAGCAAGTGTATATTTGCTAACTAATCGACGCCCAGATGTTTACTAATGACCCCGTAGGGAGAAATGCCTACTAATGGCATCTGAATGCTTGCTAATGAACCCGAATCATTACATAACATACATGCTGTAGTTTTGGTTTGCAATATACAGACAGTGTCCTCTTCTCTGCTTGTGTCTGATTATGTTATGGTATGGGTGATATGGCAGTGCATGTGCAGTGGATGCGCGAAGCTGTTGCAGTTCCAGACGACAAAGTGCCCAATATGCAGGCAACCGGTGGAGCGGTTCCTGGAGATCAAAGTGAATGATGTCGTGCCAGAGAGTTGAGGAACCAGGAAATGCTAGTTTATGTCCCCGTTACCCTTCCGACAAGCAACCAATCCAGTGGAATTGTAGTTGTAAAGCTACGAAGATCTCTATCTTCTTTTGCTGTGTGATTTGAGGAACACGTTCTGTTTTCTCGATGATTCTCCACAAGGCGATTTACGTGGGGTGTGTATATAAAGAAGGAAAAAGGTACTTTTCATACCCTTTTTTTCACTGTGCTGTAAATGCAAATCTCGAGCATGAATTGTGTGGATACATACATGTATTATGCTGGGTTCTTCTCTGCTTAACCCTATCAATGAAGTTTCTCTTGTGATTTAAACTGTATTCCTCTTACCTTATTATTCTCAAGAAATTTGCATTCCAATTATTAAAAGCTCTGTTGGATCCAACGGCGGTATCGTCGTGGGAGTTTATGCCAAGCTCTGTTGATGTGAACTTGGATTATGGTAATAAAGACGGAAGTGCATTTATATCTATTCCTTTTCCTTGCCGGACAAGTAACAATTAATCTAACAGTAATAGTAGTTTAGCCGGACTCCTAACCCTGAGATAATAAGGTTTTTGTATTCTATAATAGCAATAGTTTCATAAGCCGATTCAGCGTTTTGAGCAGCAATGGCGTCGTCGTCGCGATCTTCAACAGAGCAACTCCCTCCATCTTCTCAAGAACAAGCTACTGACCCTCGCCCCAGCAAGCTCTCGCACCAGCACCGCCTCCTTCTCGTGCCGCTGCTGGCCGCTGCTAGATCCTCCAACCCTGAAGTAGCATTGCGAGTTCTTACCTCGTGGGCGAGTTCGGATTCCGGCCTGTCGAACCTAGTCTCCGACGACAATCTCCTCCCCGACGTCCTCCGGTTCGTGCAATCTCTCCCTCCTCCTGAATACCTCGTTCTGTCTCTGAAACTTTTGCGGAGCCTGGTCGCCGGAGAGACCGCCAATCAGTCCGCCTTCATCGATTTCGACGGCGACGGGGTTGTTTCTGCGGTTCTGATCTCTGCAGGGCTGTACCCCGACCCCGACCCCGCCATCATCGGGGCCGGATTGCAAGTTCTGGCCGTTGTCTCGCAGGCCGGCGAACCACACCGGCTGGCTATATGGGATGGGTTCTTCCCTACATTGTTTCTTGCCCTTGCCAGAGTCAGAAGCAGGGAGGTTTCCGATCCCCTGTGTATGATTCTGTACACTTGCTGCTATCGAATCCCGGCCCTTTTCGCTCAACTCCTTGCGGAGGAAGGAATCGCCATTGTTGCCGAGATTGTGAAGACGGTCTCTTTGGTTGGTTACGAGGGTGGAGACTGGTTCAAGCGAATCCTGTCCATGATCTGCCTCGATGAAGGTGGCCAATTGAACTTCTTATTCCTACGACTGCACCGCATTCGCGGCCCCGATGCTGATTACAAGGGCAAGGCCGTCGTCGTCGACGATAGTTTCTCGTCCGAGCAAGCTTACCTCTTGGCGACGGTGGTGGAGATCTTCCGCGAGGGGATGAAGGATGCACGAACCGCCTCGGTCGATTTCGCGCTCTGCGTGCTCGGTATACTCGATGACTCTGCCGCAGCTTATGTTCTTGATCACGTCTCAGGAGGCAAATGCGGTCATTTTCCAACCGGGGACGCCTCGATCGACGTGCTCGGATACTCCCTCACCATTCTAAAGCACTTATGTGACTCTGCTGCCTCGGAAGAAGAAGAAGACGACGTTGTTTCTTCGCTCTTGTCGCGCGGGCTGATGGAGACGCTCTTGAGGCTTCTTCGAGAGCTCGAGGGGATTCCAAGCGCGACGCGAAGGGAAGCAACGACGACGACGCTGTGCCCTTACATTGGGTTCAGGAGGGACGTCGTGGCGACGATAGGCAGCTGTGCGTACAGAAGGAAGCATGTGCAGGACCGGATCAGGAAATGTGATGGGATTCTGCTTCTGCTGCAGCAGTGTCATGTTGTTGATGATGATGATAATCCATTTTTGAGGGAGTGGGGGATTTGGACAATGAGGAATTTGCTGGAAGGGAATGTTGAGAACCAGAATGTGTTGGGTGAATTGGTGATTCAGGGGATTGTTCATGTGCCTGATGAACTGTGGGGTCGTGGTGTGACGGTGGAGGTGGATCGTAAGTCTGGAAGAGCATGGATTGTGAATGCTTCTTCTTCTTCTTCTTCTTCTGGTTCGACGAAGATCAAGCTCGATTAGTGGGCGCGAATTTCGATCTGTGAATTCGATGGCGCGCTTCTGAGAGTTTCAACACGTTTTTTTTTTTGGTGACTGCAGAACCAGGGTTGATGGTTCCCAAGTCAGAATGGATTCCTTACTTGGTGCGGATTGGGGGTAAAGTGGGTAGAGTTGAAGTTGATAGCAGTTGATGGATTGTTGGACAAGTATGATTTCTTTCTTATTAATCTAGTTATGTGTAGATGTGATCATAGATTAAGTGATTGCGTAACCGTTAATGGGTCATTACCAGGCTGAGGTTGGAATGCAATAGTTGTCAATTTCATTTTATGTGAGTTTCGTTAATTGATATCTAGTTTTATTGTTCAATTTGCGAAACAAAACAATATATTTTGCATGGTTTCGTCTCAACATTCAAAAAACCCTAGTAGAATATAAAAAAAAATATATTATGATTGAAGTTCAAAGCAAGGTCTAGAAAACCGTACCGGGTTTTACGTAACATCCCGAACCTTTTCCCGACAAGATACTGTCCGCTTTGTATCTCTACACCTGCACGGATTTGCCTTTGGGTGCAATTCACGGTAAGCACATAAGGTCACCCATCTGGTATTTCTTATCCGACCGCTAGTGTAGAATTTCTTAAACTTTGGTTGAGAGTCGCAAAAAAGATAATTAAATTTAGAAAATCAACTAAAACTGTCAATAAGTAGGGCTCTCGGTTTGGTTAACCAAAGCTATTAAACACGGGAAAAAAAGTCAAATTCCTAAAAACCAAAAAAGTTAAGTGCCTCATCTATTATCGATTTCTTATTGGTTTTTCGGATTTAACCGAAACCCTAAACCATTGACGTGCCAAAAAATTTTGAAATCGAAAAATCAAATAAATAAAATCCAAATATTTCACCTAAAAGAAAAAGAAAACACATCGGATGTTACGAAACTATGAAAATATAAGCAACTACAAGAGATGATTAGATAGGGAAAGACACAAGAGAAGAGAGGGAAGAGTTCTTCTTATTCATTCTTCACTTTTGATACAATGGTGTGCTATATTTATAGGCACACTTTGGTAACCACTACATCCTTATATCAATGCATATGAATGAGAGATAATGATGTAGAAATAGGAGTTACATGTAACTCCCAAGTGAGCATCTAATGTGGTAGGCCATTGGTCATCCATATATCAATATTTACATAATACTCCCCCTTGGATGACCACTAGACTGCATTACGCTATCTCATACTGCCTCGTTAAAAACCTTACCAGGAAAACCCAGTGGGAAAAAACCATGGTGAAGGAAAAAAGAGTGCAGTGCGTATATGCTCCCCCTCATGACCACATCACTTCAAATCTTTGAGTCTTTGAACTCAAATTTCACGAACAACTTTTAGAAATATTGTTGCCGGGAGTGAGTTAGTGAACAATCTACTAGATTGTCAATTTGATCCATTATCTTCAGATTTTCTTCATACATGATCGTCAAGATCATTTCCTTTGAAAATAGTTCACAACCACAAGTCCTTTAGGTATGGTGAATCACAAAGTGTAACGGAATATATTCAGGACTTGCCTACTATAGTTTGTTTGTTTCTCTATGAAACACTTATATCACCATATGTAAGAGATATAGGTCATCTCCGATCAACCAATATGAGGATCAAATGGTACATAGAATTTGGATATATAATTCACCAAATCACTCTTTGATAATACCATAATAGAACAATCGCATATATTGTTCCTAAAGATAACAAAGTATTTTCCAACGTTCCATGGAGGGAAATATTGTATTTTGCTAATATTATCAACACCAAAATGATATTTTGTATGGTGTTTTGCTAGCAAGGTTCATTGGTGCTCTGATGCATCAACATATGGTACTTCAGGACCTACATCAACATTTAGTACTTTAGGACTTAATGATTTACTTCTTTCTTGTTGCATAAATGGATCTTGGTCACTTCTAGTGATCTTAGAATCCTAATGTTATTTGATGAACATAATTTGTTCATGCAAAATTATTTTTCCACTTTTTCAGTATTATCTTCCTTGCCCATCAAAGGATCTTAAATCCTTCAATTTAACTTATTTCTCTAAGCAATCAACTGATTTAGGAAGCTCTTCAGGAGCTCCAATAATAGACATATCATCAACATAATATGAGATGGTCACAAAAAAAACTTGACTAAAACAAATTGAAGCAAGCAATTCTTTCATATCACGAAAGATATTAACAAAACACACATCATAGAAACATACGAACTAGACAAAGCACACTCATAAAACACAACTCATACTTTAAAGTAAATCACAACTCATAAATCATGAATTTAAAATCCTTGAAGCACATACAGACAACACAAGTATATATGCACAATGCAAATGCTCTAATGACTCTATCCGGATTTAACCTTTTAAGGTCCATTCACCCTACTGTTGTAGGTGTTCACTTAGACGAGTATTTCACATTCGTCTATATTTTCTCAACCCATACAGGGGATATTCTTAGTCTATCATTATATATTCTCGAGAACTTTACTTGTTTACTTCAGGTAAATTAATCCTTCTAGAAGTAATTAATCCTTCTGGGAGTTTTAAATATATTTAACATCTTCAGGGAATTCAAACAAATAGGCTATCACAATAATTTTCAAACATTGATTTGAAAAAGTAGTTGCACCCACCACAGGGGAGTATAACTCCTCTTAAACAATGATAGGTCTTTTCGAGAAACCCATTGCAAAACATTGTGTTATATCTCTCACAATTTCATACTTTCCAATAGCACAAAAATTTGTTTGTATCCCGCTATTTTTGCCCTCTTTTAGGTGCAAGGACTTCTGGTCCTTAAACGTTATGCTCCTTGAGCAAGTTTCATGATTTCTTTCTATATTGGCCAATAACATTATCATTTTCATGCATCAATAAAGTTTTACTCTTGATCCTCACTTGTATATATCATATTCAGTACTGAAGTACAACAAACAAATTTCGTCGACAATGACTTCATTTCGGTTCCAGTATTGTAGTCTAATATGTTTTTGAGATCTCTTCCTTTTCACAACTTTCATAGACATGTGTTCTTCTGGAACTAAAATTATACTTAATTCTTGGTTACTCTTCTTGAGTTTTCATGTCCTCGAGTTGACCATTCTAATTATAGCTCCTTTTCTTTCTCGAGGATGTTTATCATTGGAACCGATTGATCTATCACGCTTCATGCGCTCTTTCATACACATTTTTTATTATATTAGAGTATCCAACAAGGATATCAAATTTAGTTGGAGCATTCACAGCTAGTATATGTGACTTGGTCACTTCGTATGACCAGTAAAGGTATTTGATAGTTGGTAATGATAATTCATCTTATGAACTTCAGGTTCATGTTTCTACTTTGAGGATCAAAACTAGATAATGATAACTCATTCCAACTCATCTCTTTGTCTAGCTGTTTTTTTTCCCTCTCCCCCTTAATGTTGGAAAATTAATCCATCAAAACAATAATTTCGCAAACCAATTTCCCATTTGGGATTCATACCTAACACAAATTCTCAATTTCCAACGAGAATCAGCTTAAGATACTGTGGTGGAGCAATTGGGATGTATGCGCACACCCTTATATTCTCATATGAGAAAGGTTAAGTTTCTGACCAAAACCATTTGTAAAAGGGGAGAACTTATGATAACTTGTTGGTTAGATGTGAACCAATACTATCACTTGCCAGCTAGCATGTCCTCGACAAGAGACCAAAAGGCTCAGTTTGTTCTCTTAAGCAAAGTGATGTTTGATTGGATAACCATCACAATGTATCCATAGCTAGTGAGGCAACCAATATCAAACATCGGGTTGCGATTAGATAAAATACATGTGATCATCCATTTGATGCATCAACCCATAAAATTCACAAATGATCCACATGATTGATGTATTGTTCTGCATACATGTCCATAAAATCTCAAGAGATTTATCAACTCTTTTACAAGCGATGATCAATTGTTCTATTTTCCTTGAGAACAAACATGACATAATAACTCTTTTAGTTGAAGAGTTCTTTGCCTTCTCATATGATGTTCTCATGAATTCTCCAAGAATTTTTTTCACATCATGATCCGGGATGGTCTAACCGGACCAACCAAATTATCAAGTTATCAAATCTTGTAAACTTCTGGTTTACACTTTTATGTGTACTGATTGTACTAATATACATGTAGTACATATTTGTGATGCAAATATTAGTTTCACTATTTTCTTGATAAGATATTCATTTTATGAATATCCTTTTAATTGGGTAATGCATCATCACTAGGTAGTTTGGTTCCTTCAGGCCACAAAATTAGCTCTTTTAAAGCTTTACCATATTTTGTACCATATTCCACTCTTCCGGGGACTTATGATTTGATGCATTCTTAGTAAACACTAATTCATAGTGAATATCATCACAAATTGTTATCACGAGTACATAATTTAGTTACTTCAAGTAACCAAACATAAGCTTTTCGGAAGCTTTTCTTATTTATGTACTCTACCATATAGTTTATATGAAATTTTTCTAATAATCATACTTTACAAAAACATACTAAAATAAAAAATGAGAATATTTCAAACTTAAGACAAAAATGTTGAATTTATCAAGTTAATTGTTAAAGATAAAGGTTATCAAATTAAATTATGCATGAAAAATAATGTCACAATAAAACATAAAAGAAATAAGAATCATAATACTAAAATTGTGAAAATTAAATAAGATTTATTTGGAACATTACCATCACTAACTAGGTGATTTTAGATTTATATATGCGTTTAATATACATCATAATGTACAACAGGTACATTATGTTATCATGACTTTGATAATGCAATTGTTGTGTCATCCTTATTTATAATTCTCCTTTTTCTCCTCTTTTCTCACTTCTGGTGAAAAGATCTAAACAATACATTTAACATATATATAATCATGTTTATAGCTTCATTCACTTCGGGGAATAGATTGTTTCATTCACTTCTGGGAATGAAAATGTCTCAAGTGCAATTTCATTTTCATCTTTAATGGAGAATATACCAACTTATAATACAAAAAATATGTTCCATAATATTGATATTGCAAGAGCGTATATGAATTAGCTTTTCCCTTTGATTCTTGGTAGAATAGGGTCTTTTGCGTACAACGGGTACGAGACAAATGCAATTTTCCATTACAATGGTAACATACAAAACCAATATTCTTATTATCATGTTTTTTTCTTTATTTGCCTTTGAATTCTTCAATTTCCACTTCTGGGGAATATATGGGCTCTTGGAACTTGCATTTTCTACATATCAATGTGGGATTGATAAGAATAGGATAACACAGAGAACTGAAAAATTAACTCATCACTTATATTACTTTTCTTGTTAATCCAAATAGATTGACGTGATAAAATATCAATGGATACGAGAAAAGAGTAGCGCCCATCTTGATATATTGGAATGAGATAATGTCAACACAAATAAGACAATAAGATAAGAAAAGATATAAGATTTACATACCTTGATCATATTGTGATCTTACTCCAATATACTGGATTGTGTAAAGAGACAATGACCAACCATGATGCTAGCAGAGCTTCATGCTGATAACGTGTTATGAAACTATGAAAATATAAGCAACTACAAGAGATGATTAGATAGGGAAAGACACAAGAGAAGAGAGGGAAGAGTTCTTCTTATTCATTCTTCACTTTTGATACAATGGTGTGCTATATTTATAGGCACACTTTGGTAACCACTACATCCTTATATCAATGCATATGAATGAGAGATAATGATGTAGAAATGCAATGCTGTCAAAGCCGAGCCGGAGTATGACCCGATAACGTGAACGGCTCGGTCATTAGTGGTCCAGCCGGCATTAGACCGTTTAAAAACCGTTTGAGAACCGATACATTAAAAATTATAATATAATAAGCACAAGACATATAAAGCAATAACTTAACAATTCAATGGCTAAAATAAAATTTATTTTGCAGGTATCACTTAGTAATTTTACAATACATATATATTTAACAACTAAGGAATCCCCACCCTTCCCAACCCTAGCGGCGCCCTCATCCCCCCCCCCCTACCTCTCTGATTTCCTTCTCATTCATTTCCCTATTATGTTTGGTCCAACACTGCAACTTGAAGGAAAAGGGGCAAGACAGAGAGGTTAGCACCGGCTGGAAGGAGAGTCAGCAATAGGATTACAATAGGATTACGAAGAGTTGGGTCATCTCGTCGCTGGGTCGTCATCACAGGGCAGAGAGGGCGAGTAGATTGTTGGTTGCTCGTCGTCGCTTGGTTTGCCTGCAGGAGAGCTTGCCAAATCGACGAGTTGTGCATCCAAATCAGCAAATCGACGGGGGGCAAAGAGTCCGAGGTCGCCTCTGGGTTCTGTCGACGGGGACTGAGCTCGAGGACTGGCGATGGGTGCTGGCGGCGGAAGCGGCGCTCCTTCTGTCTACACGAGAGGCGAAGAAGAGAATGAACTGAAGAATCTGAATTAGGGTTGTTTGACAGCACGACATTTTCCTCTTTCCTTCCCGTTTTTAATTTTTTTTATTAAAAACCAACCGGCCGAAATGGAAAGCCGAGTGTTCGGCTCGAGCGGCCCGGGCGGTTAACCGTCCCGGCCGCTCGCCGACCGCCCCAAAAACCCGTTCCGGCTAAATAGCTTTGCCGAGCCGGTTTGACAGTCGGGTGACGGTTTTACCGGTCCGGCCGGCCGGCTCGGCCCGACTTTGATAGCACTGAGAAATAGAAGTTACATGTAACTCCCAAGTGAGCATCTAATGTGGTAGGCCATTGGTCATCCATATATTAATATTTACATAATATCGGAAACATTATTTGGTCGTGGGGAAGGTTTTCCAGGGGCGGTGAGGAGTTTCACTTTACCACTAAACCCACGACGATACCCCACTCCCCGCAGCCGCCGGCGTAACATTAGGGCCGGGGTTTTTGCCTTCAGTATTCACATTTGACAATCACTGCAAACCTCAACTCTCAGCAGCAGCAGCAATGGCGTCGCCGCAATCTTCACTCGACCAACTCCCGCCATCGTCTCCCCAACAAGCCCCTAACCCTACACCCGCTCCAATCTCCGCCGCCGCCGAGGAAACCTTTCCTGAAACCGCCGAGAAAACCGTCGATCCTTCGCCAGAAGCCGACTCCAGCGGCGCCAAGCGCAAGCGAGACGAAGAAAACCCAGAACCTGAGACGAAACCCGACCCGTCATCCCAACCCTGGTACAAAACCTCCCTCTGTTCCTACTTCAGGCGGAACTCGGGCTCCTGCGCCCACGGCAGCACTTGCCGGTACGCTCACAGCGAGGGAGAGCTCCGTCCGCGGCCTGATAATTCCTGGGACCCGACCTCCGAGCGCGCCAAGAAGGCGTTGAAATTGGACAAGGAAGGCGATGATGCGGGGAAGGAAGAGGAGGAGGAGGATGAGAAAGAGAAAGAGGATGAAATCATGATGACTGATATGATTGCTGATGAAGGCGATGCCAATGGAGGTTGTTTGGATGTCGAGCTGAGCAAATGCCTCGTGCATTTGCCTAGGAGGTGGACCACTGATAACTTGAAGAAGTTTCTCAGTGAAAGTGTACGTCTTTTCGCTGCTGTCGCCATAGGGGTTTGGTGTGTATTTCTTCTCTGTTGAAGTGATTGTCTTTTTGGGTTGGTGTTTACAGGGCGTTTCGTTCAAATTGGCGAAGAAGAAGAAAGGCATGACTGTCGGGTTTGTGACTTTCGAGAATCTGGAGCAACTGGCAGCTGCAGTGCCGGTAAAATGGTTTACTTTGATTAGTGCTGGAGCTTCATGATATAACTTAGGGGAAGCTCTGGATGGTTTGCTTTATTGTTTTCCTTGCTTGTTTTCGTAATGTGGTAGGAGTTAGAGGAGAAATCTGTTGGCAACAAGAAGATAAAGGTAGCGAATGTCCTCCCTCGATCGTACGACAAGAACATTAAGACTGCGATGGATGAGGGAGAGAATGCTGCTGTGTCTAAATCTTCAGATGGTACTGCTACAGTGGATGGTGAAAGTTTGGGTGCGGACGATGGTTCAAACTCCAAAGCGAAATGTGCTCGTGATGCTGTGACTCCCCTTGCTCATATATCTTATGGAGACCAGTTGGAGCAGAAGAAGAAGTCTGTTGCTCAGATGTTGATAAAGCTTGTTAGTAGCTGCGCTTAATGTCATTCTTTTTTTTTACACGGCTGTTATCAGCTTGACATAATGTATGCAGATGCACTGAATCACTTTCATTTTGCCTGGCAGACTAGAAACACACGAAAAGCATGTCCTACTGGGGTTTCTCTACCTGAATGGATTTTGAAAGCAAGGGAAATAGGTAGGGCCTCGAGTCAACGTTTCGTATAGAGGTTATTATGTGGTTTAATTCTTACTTCGGCACTGATTCAGAGTTCCTTCTGGCTCACCATTTTATGGGCTTGCATTCTGCAGGTAATCTCCCATGCAAACTAGAGGGCATACTTGAGTCACCACTGGTCAATGGATATCGGAACAAGTGCGAGTTCTCAGTGGGGCATTCTCTTGGAGGAAAACCTACTGTAGGGTTTATGCTGGGAAATTTCAGGTACCACTTATCATTATGGTAGTTAGTTCTTGATATTTTTGAGTAATATCAAAAAATAAAATGTGGAATGCCATTTTCAGGGCGGGTGTGACAGCAGTAGACGAACCAGTGGATTGCCCAAACGTTTCTAGTATTGCTTTAAAGTATGCTTTGATCTTTCAAGAGTTCTTGCAACAGTCGAGTTTGCCTATGTGGAACAGATTTAAGAACACTGGTTTCTGGCGTCAGCTCACTGTATGTATTATGTGGAGATCGGTGATAAGATTCTTCGTCTTCAACTGTTCAGTTAGTTTTGATGTAGAATGAGTTGCCAGTAACTAAATATTTTGTCATTACCTTCATTTTGGCCCAAGGTCCGAGAAGGTAGACTACCAGGAAAGCCAACTGATACCGAACACCCAGAGGCAAACATATCGGAGGTTATGCTTATGGTTCAGGTTCGTGCTTAGTGTTTTTTCTTTCTTATTTTTGTATTGCAACATATTAAATAGAAATGCAAATAACCTCTTCCTGATCTGTAGGCTTAATATTGTTTCTTATTCACATTCCATTGCCCCACCTTTATAACTTAGGTATCCACTAAGGGTTTCGATGATGCAATCGTAACCAGTGAGCTTGAGAGATTGACACTTTCATTTACCAATGGAGCTGCAGCAAATTCTCCTCCTTTGCCTTTAACAGCTTTGGTTCTTCAGGTATTGTCTTGTTCGGTTCATTATTTTTGTTTATCTAGTGAAAACAGTTAAGTTTGCTTATGGAAAACAATTTTGTAACTTTGTTTTCTTCCTATATTGAAAACTGGAATATAACTCTGGAAGCATGATTTCACATCTGATTTATGTTCCTGCCATTCTGATTTGAAGATTCTGCTTTGGAGCATTTAATAGTTATGCTGCAGTATGTTGTTCCATAATTTGACAGCAATTGCTATATTTGACTGATGTAGGATCATCAAGGAATATCAAATGTTGCACCATCTGATGCCCCACTGCGAATGCTGCATTCTACTAATGCAGAAAATGGTACTTCGGCGGTCGACAAGGCTGATAATACTGCAGAACCCAGAATTCATGACTATATAAGCAACCTTCGGTTCTCTATATCACCAACTGCATTTTTCCAGGTTTGCATGTTTTTGCTTGATGTCGTTGAAAAGTTACTAAGTGTTTTGTGTCGGAGGATCTTATAAATGGTTGCTACTGCAGGTCAACACCCTTGCTGCAGAGAAACTATACGCACTTGCTGGCGATTGGGCAGATTTGGGTCCAGACACACTGTTATTTGATGTATGCTGTGGTACCGGAACCATTGGCCTAACTTTAGCACACCGTGTTGGCATGGTAATAGCTTTTGCTGATGCTTTCATCTTCCTTCCCTTTCCTTTTCCTTCTGCATTGAATCATCTTTTTTTTTAATTATATAAATTAATTAAATTCAGGATGAGGATACGTAAACGAACTCACACAGCGTTGAATTCATCTTTTGGGTCCTTAATCTCGTGCCTGTAGATTCATCTTTTTTTGGGACTGTCCAGGTTGTTGGGATTGAGATGAATGCTTCAGCCGTTTCAGATGCTAATCGAAATGCTGAACTCAACGGCATAAAGAACTGTAGATTCGTTGCTGGGAAGGTAAGTTTCGCACTACAAACCCTGCTACATTGTTGATGAGTATAAATTATTACTCGTTGATGCAATTGCCTTGAAATGTTGGCATATTTTGCCTCAAACTATCATTGGGACAATATTGTTGTATTATTGCTTTCACCTTTTCCTTCTTCCTTGATGTTTGCTTTATTTGCTATTGGTTCTTGGATTTTGTTGATAATTCTTATTTGAAAATAGGCAGAACATGTCATTGGTTCTCTGTTACAAGAATACCTGATTGTGCCCGAGAAGAAAGAAGATGAATTACCAAATTCTTCTGAAACAATTGACAAAGCCGTTGCTACTTCTGATGGGAACGAGGGTGATGTTGATGAGAAGAATCCCAGAGTCGAGCTTGTTGACAGTGTAGATGCTACTAAGGATTCAGAAAATGGTATAGAAGTTGAAGGCCAACCTCAGAGCAGTTGCTCTGCAGTAGAAGATGGGACCTCCTCTTCAACTAAGCAATTCAAAAACGTTGTTGCCATTGTTGATCCTCCTCGCAACGGGCTCCATCCAATTGTAAGTACAAGTTACATGCTCCCTTAATTTTGGTTATATGCTCTTTCTTCTGGTTCCTTCTGCATAAAATTTCAGCTACAAGAAAGAAAGACCTTTTCCTTGTCTCATGTGTGAATATACCCGCTAAACCTTGGGGTCCTAATTCCAAGGATTATGATGCTGGTATTCACCTGGTGTTACAGGATAATTGTACATTTGTTTGTTTTATAGAGATGTTCTGTTGAATTAAAGCCTGATCGCTACACTTTTGGTTTCTCATGTAGGTTATCAAAGCACTGAGGACTCATTCCGGCCTGCGACGTCTCGTGTTAGTTCCCTTCTCTCTTTTGAACGTTTAAGTTAATTGTAATGATAAGTGCATGTATTGACATTGTGTTTGTTTGTTTGTGGATGTTCTGTAGTTACATTTCCTGCAATCCCGAGACACTAGTGGCGAATGCAATCGAGCTGTGCACACCATCCCCCGAGACAGTCGAGAAAGGGAATAAGAACAACCGTGCCTGGAGGAACATGAGCAGCGCAGGACTGGCACGCCACAGAGCCAAGTCGATGCCCATCTCCGAACCTTTTCGACCAGTTAAAGCCATGGCTGTTGACCTCTTCCCTCACACTCCACACTGTGAACTGGTGATGCTCCTCGAGAGGTAAAAGACGTGCCTTTCTGTTAGGTTGGATAATTTATTGCGATGTAAGAATCTTTCTCCCTTACGACAAAGCAAAAATTTTGCTAGGTAGCTGCTTTTGACACTGCTCAGATTGTTCATTTCAATACAAACAATTGTTTTCTTCTGTTTGCTCTCTATGATTGCTTTTACAAACGGCGGTAACTACAGGGTACTTCAATAGTAACAGCAAATCCATGACGTTTCATCTTGTAACACCCTTTATGTGATGATTCCAATGTTTGGAACGACAGCAAAGTATACGAAATGGAAGTCTATAGAGACGAAGAACAAGAACGGTGACTCGAGTTTTCATTCCTGACGGAACTGGTTCCAAACAGACTGTTAAGTAGGAATGTTTGGCTGAGATTTGTTATGGAAAGCAAATGTGAGGTCTGACTCAGTTTTTGCCTAACTTCTGTTGACTTCAGTGCTTTCACCATAATGGTCAGCTATCAGGGTTGGCCTTCGATGTTGTGCATCTATCTTCACCATGGAAACCATGTGTGTGACCATTCTGCTCCCTCTGTCTCTCTTTCTCTGCCGAACTTACCTCTATCTCTCTCAACTGTCTGGTCTTTCAGTAGAGTCCAGTTGCAGTACCTTATTACAGACAGAAGAAGCCCTGTCGTCAGCCTACCTACCGTTACCAGTCAGCCAGCCAGCAGCAGCAGCAGCAACTTTTAACCCGTCACTCACTCACTGAAAGATAGGAAGAAAAGACGGGTCTGTTTTGCCAAAAGAGAAGGCAAAGTGGTGATAATGTTACATGATGATGATAGTGAAAGATAAGGCCTACCCAATTTTACGTTGCTGTTGTGATTATTCCCGCTTCACTAATACGCTTATTGATGGTTATGATTGCTCTCACATCTCTTTTGGCCTTTTGGGTTGTCTGTACTTTAGAGTATTTTTGGACTTTCTATATGGATGGAGTTGGTTATCTCATCTTTTTTGGTGTTTGTAGGGTTTAGGGTTTTGAATGAAACAGACATCCTTTTTTCGGCCTAAGTATTAACTCCACCGAACGAAACGCGGCGTGTGTGTGGCCTATGGGTTGACCGTTCTTGAAATTCGATTCCGTTACTATACAGACAACGCCTATTAGAACCATGGGGCCCGACAACGTATCAACCCATGTTGTAGGAATGTTTGTAAGAACGCAATCCACGTCGTCGATCCGACGATTGAGCTCGTCGAAAGGTGTGAGTTTATGCATATTTGTCTCCCATCATCATCAACATGGTAAAGAGGAGTGAAATATTAAAGTAACTTTTCAACTCCACTGAATGAGACGAGGCGCGTTGTGGATAAGATCGTTGTTAGTAATTCGATTTGGTTACCGTACAGACAACGCCTATAAGTATGATGACTTGACACATTGTTTGAATCCACGTTATGAGACTGACACTGTCGCACGTAATATCGATATAAGAGGAGTAAAAGATTGATGTTTCGAATCAGGGAATAAAGCGACAGCTCTAATTGCTCCACTAATCATCCACTTTACCAATAACAATGGAAGTGGGAAAGGGTTATTACTGATATCGATCTACCTTTTTGTGGTAGCAAATAGGAAGTCGGCAGGGGTGGGAAAGATTACTGGATTAGGCCATCGTTAGTGCAATGTGGAGGTGGCATATCTTAATGTAATCTTGATTAATTAATTAATAAGCTAATTAATGAAATGCTAATCGATAATTAATGGAGGCGGGGAGAAAACAATGTAATTAGACTGTGTCATTAAGAATGTTGGGAATAGTCAAAGTCAAGTCAGATTCAGGCAAGCACTGAAATGGGTGGGAGGGTGGGAAATGGGAATTGAAGGCTAATGGTTTATTAGTTTCCCTCTTTTTTCTTTTATGTGTTCTCTCCATTGATCGTTTGTACTTTGTAGTAATTGGGTACATGGGGAATTTTAATTATTAGTTCAATGGAGAGCTGAAATGGTCATATAGAGTTTGGGTGGGGGAAATTGCAGTATAAGTAATGGAATTTTGGATCAACCGTGACTAACTACGACTTTTTGATTATACATGAATTCGTACAACCTCATCATTATTATACACTTTTTTCCTTTCAGTTCTCCTATGCTACGATGTGTGTTTGACTAAGGGGTCATTTGAGGGAAAAGATTTAGAATATGGATTCTTTGAATTGATAGATATTTTAAAAAGAAAATTATGTTATTTTGTTGTCTTTTGTATCACGTATTTTAGTTTTAGAGATTCAGAATCTCTAAAATTGAGTATCACATCTCTCGTAATCAGAGTGATTCGATTTCTTGGTTTATGATATTTTTCTCCTTCTGCTTTTATCTGTTCCTTTTTCATTTATCCCACCAAATTCACTTATCAATAAAAATCTTAATATTTCTCGAATCACTCGTATAGTCGTATTCTTTTAGTTAGGAATAAACATGTCATTTGATAAATAATTAAAATGATTATTTTATATTGAATCTTAATCGTCGCAGTTACCAAATAATGAATATTTTAAAATATTTTTTCAACAACCCATAAAATTAAAATTTTTTGAATTGTTTACGATTTAGATATTTTGACGGCAAACGACTCTAAAAATAAAATAATTTCCAGAATTTCACTGACAAATTATCAAATACCATTTTTTTTATTTGTAAAATATATGAAATTATAATTACACGTATTCATTTGCTGGAAACTTTATTTAATTATCCACCGCCCACGTTTCCTCTTTTAAGTTGCTCTTTCGTGGTTTGGATTTTAGCCTACACAGCCAAATCAAATTAATAACGACGTTGAGAGCTCAAAATTAATAAAGCTGGATAAATCATTTGTATTATCTTCGTGGCAAAGGAATTCTCTCAACTCATACAAGTCGCAATCAACGAAGCATCTAGCTAAGCTATATTAACAAATAATCCTCTTTTTAAGACTTTCCATTAAGCATGATTGCTGTTGGAGATTAAGTGGAATTGGTTTAGGGAAACTAGAGGCCATGCTCATGCATGCATCTTGATTTTGGTTCTTAATTGTGTCTCTATTTTCCTTGGTATTCTATCTTCGTTCTAAAATCCATGTTTTGTACTGGTAGAAACCAACGTTTCTATTATAGTAGTAGAGTAGGATTAGATCTATTATCAGATTTTTCGTATTTTTTTTTTATTATATATCTACTTTGATATTTCTTTATGATCATTAGACTGAACAATAGAAAGAATTATCCCGAATCCTAATTTATATTTCTCTTAATTCTATAAATCTCGACTCTCCTCTCCTTAAGGTTGCCGACCATACTTCCCTCTTCCGTCCAATTTCATCTTCTAAATCCATAATCCTCAACTCTTGTTCTTCCCCAATTCTCTTCTCAGCCCCTAAGTATATCTCAATCCATAACTCAATCGATTCTCTTCTTTCCGGCCCGATTATGATAGCCCAAAAAATTCAATCCATCGGGATTCTATCATATACACTCATCTACCTAAACGTCAGAGCAGTGGCGGAGCGAGGTAAGGAGGAGAGGGGTCCTAGGACCCCACTTGGCAAATAATTGGGCAACAAAACCCTTTAAATACATAGGTTTTAGTACGATAATTCAAGTTTAGGACCCCATACTCTCAACGATGTTAGCTCACCAAGGACCCCGGTTAACTCAAAATTCATTAGGTACACAAGCATTTATGTTAGTAAAATTTTAAGGACCCCAGTGGACTCGATGTCTGGCTACGCCAATACGTTAGAGCGTCGTATCGTGGGTCATCTCCATCTCTATCCCACCACAGCTTCAGTTGTACTCAAAAGACATCACGAAAACAAAGTCTGAATAAGGGTCCATCCACGTACAAACATTACATTGATGAACATGAAAACAAAGAATGATCATGTCACATAACAAAATACATGCGTATATTATCGAGTACTGTCGACTTGGTAGGGCAAAGGTGGTACAATTAAGGAGAGGATTAATGATCAACGTAGTACGTGGTTCCATACCAACCTTAACGCCAAAAACACCAACATTTTGATTCATCATTTAGCTCTTCTCTTGGCTCGATCCCTCACTGCCACCTTGCTGACTGCTGTCTCCCTCGCCACGTGTCCGAGCCACAGGGGTCCCACGTGTCGGTTACGTGACTTTTTGATTTGTTTGTGTTTTAGACCATCCACGTCCATGAAATACCATTTCTATTTCATATGTGGCTCATACTGCCACATCATTAACTTTTTCTATTCTTTTACATATCACTTCCATTTACTCTACATCAATGAAATCCACTATCTATTTCATATGGTGGACCCAACTTATTTTTTTAATACAACTATACATAGAAACGATAATAGATTAATCATCGTACTTCTCATCTTCTGATCGTCTCCAAATCGATACTATGTGTATTTGATTTCGTATTGCGCTTTCGTAATTCAAAAAATTAATTAATAAAAAATTAATAAATTTATCTAGTATAATAATAAAAATTGTCTTAAATTACAATTAACAAAGAATAAATAGTATTTAAAAATAAAAGAACACAATTTTCAATTCAAATAATTAAAAAAATTAAAAAAAAATCAAAGGAGCAAAAAGTGGGAAGGGGCCCACTTCCCAACCACTCACTATGTCATATGCTATTTCATTTAGTGAAATCTTTCACTTTGTGAAATAGGCTTTACATCCATAAAATGGAAAAAACACGCTGCCACGTCAAAACGAAGTAGGGAAGTGAAAGCCGTTGCAGATGGTCGTAATATTCTTAATCGTGGGTTACAATTCATGAGTAATGACCCAAAAAGTGCAGAATTCGTTGAAGGGAAAAAGGAAGGCAGAGTACCATAAAAAAGACTTGAAGTGGAGGCTACGCTGTAGAGAGGCTTTTTTTCCTGCAACAAGGAAAGTAAAATTAGAAGAGACTTGACTAACTGACAAGCAAACAGCATATACTAAAATCAACATATAACCAGACATTTGGTTTGGTTAACTATGGAAGTACGAGAATAGGAATTTACCTTGTGTGCTTCACTTCACCCATTCATCATTCATGGACAGTTACTATAGTAGCAAATGGGGAGGAGAGGTAATTGGGTAAAGCTGGAAAAGACCAAAAGGGCAGTAATCCAGTTAGCATGCTGAATCTGGTTTATGTTTTGGACTTTTGGTACAGGTGGACAACGTTACTTTGTGCCATCTTTTTCGTTCGATACATGTGACCGTAACCGTTGAGATCGTGTGTAAACAATCCGACGCGATATCAGCTTACGTTGAACGACTTCATCGCGCGCGCGGTTGCGGACAAATTCTAAGAAAGAGACAGACAGGAGGGATGGGGAAGTGGGCTAAGCAAGTAGGGGTGCATATAGCATGACCCCAACGGAAAAGACTTTCATGCCATCTTTTTCCTTCTTTGGGTTTTTGCTTTAATTAAAGGGAAGAAGAAAAAAAAAAGAAAGGAAATTTGGATCATTATGCTCAAGTGGAAAGAATTTGGCAGAAGAAGGTAAGAGACTTTGAGGATTTTTGATACAACATAAAAAGGGAAGGAGGGAAGGAAGGGAAAAAAGGATCAAAGGTGGCTTATCAAGGGAAGTAGTAAGTGAGTAGTATGGCAGGCTTCCTACCAACTTTTGTAATTAATGACACTATGGAGAAGAGGAAGCTCTGAAACTGACCACACCATAACCTCCTCCCAATCCCATTAATCTTTTCTCTGCCCACTCTTTCACCCAATCCCACCATTATTATTCCTTCTTCTGATCATCTCCCTTCTCCCATGCTCACAGAATTTAACTCACCTCTCTAGCAAAGTCAAAAGAAAGAAGAAAAGAGCAGAGCTTTGCTTTTATCCTCTCTTTCTGCTTTTGGGTACAACGGCTGGTCCTTCCTTTGCTTTGGGTTGCTGCTGGGTCGTTATAAAGATTGAAGCTTTTCCACTTTCTGGTTTGGGATTTGGATGGAAATGGAGGAGAAGCTTTTGAGCGAGATGAAGGGTGATGTGGGTACTAGCCAATCCGCTGCAGCTGCTGCTGCTGCTTCTGCTTCGCCTAGTACTCCTGTCCACCAGGTGTTTGTTGAATTGATTCCTTCTTTTTCTTCACTGTTTTTCTTTTTTCCTACGGCAAGCATCGGTTTTGTTCATTTGTGATCTTCGACCTTTGAGGAAGAATGAAATTCATTTAGCCTGCTTCCAAAAAAATTGAGCTTTCTGCTGAAATTCTGATCTGGTGTCGTGGAGTGAAGAGAGTGATATGAGTTTTGCTTTTATTGGAAATACTTAGGCTTCACTTTTCATAGTCTAGCCTTTATGGTGTGATTTTTGAAATCGTTTTCCCATATGGGCTATGGCTACCAGAACTTTCAAATCCTAATTGTTTATTAGTGGTAAAAACACCTTCAGGAAATTTGATGATACAAAACCACACGCTTGTTTTTACTCTTCTTTGTCTGATCTCGCAATATAGTAGCTGAAACATGCTATCTGGGTTTTCCTTGATATGGAAATTGAGTGACTGAGTGAGTTGATTTGTGTCTGTTGCTTAAGCAGGCTGAAGACTCAAGTGGGATAGTGGAAGAAGGCAACAGTCATGGCAACTGGAAGAAGAGAAATCTATTTCTAGAGATACCTTCAAGAACAATGGAACCAACAACTCCACAAGGAGATAGTGTAGTGATTAAGATGCCACCAACACCAAGCCAAACTCCCAGGAAGGTCAATTTCAATTTGACCCCTACTTCTGCTGATCCAAGGGCAGCCACCACCAGTGGATCCCCAGCTCCCACTCCATCCAAGGGGAGGTCTTCTTTGAAGAGCTTGTTGCCTAAACTTAGCTTCAAGTCTCGAATTGCCACGTTAAATGCTGCTGATAAGCCGCCGGCCCATAATCTTCTACCGGAACCTGCAACTCCACAGCAAGATAGGCCCTCCATCCCAAGGTCACTGTCACTCACTAAGCTTTTCACTCCTAGGATGAAGAGGACATCATCACTCCCTGTGACACCCATTGCGAATTCTCAACCGCATAGTGAAAGCGTTAGTGGCCCTCTCAATCCAAGTGTAAGTTCCTTGTACATGTTTGTTGACTGGGTAGTACAACTTGTGATTTATGATCATCTAAGGTCAGTCATTTCTATCCAGAGAGAAGCTCCACCGCGAAAGATCGCGCGATCACTCTCGGTCCCTGTCATCAACAAAGAAGGAAGCATACGGAGAGTGGATTCGTTCTTTCGTGTGGTCCCTACGACTCCTAGAGCAAAAGAAGTAGGAGAGATACTAACAGCTCATGCATCTCCCCCAAGTGTTTCTGCTGGTATATAGTTTTCCCTCTCATAGCTCTCTAAAGGAAGTCCCTATTGAGATTCTAAACTATGCTACATTTTCGTTTACTTTTGCACTTATTGTCATCATTGTTTTGTGGATTCAGAAACCATTGATGATGATGGAGAAGATATACCTGAAGAAGAAGCTGTTTGTAGAATTTGTCTGGTGGAACTCTGTGAAGGAGGGGAGACACTTAAGATGGAATGCAGTTGCAAAGGTGAACTTGCTTTGGCACATCAAGAATGTGCAGTGAAATGGTTTACCATCAAAGGGAACAAGACTTGTGATGTGTGCAAGCAAGAAGTACAGAATTTGCCTGTTACCTTGTTACGAATACAAAGCGTGCATAATGGGCTCGCTGGATTTGGTAGAGGTGAACTAGCTGATCCCAATGGTTACAGGCAAGTTACAAAAATTCTTTTAGCTTAAATCTAATTTTTTCACATCATTTGGTTGAGACTAACTAGTTGTACCACATCAGGGTGTGGCAAGAAGTACCAGTGCTGGTGATTGTTAGCATGCTAGCCTACTTTTGTTTCCTGGAGCAGCTTCTGGTTAGTGAAGTTGTAGAACAAGTTCTTGTTCACCCAAATTTGATTGCAACTCTGCTACTCTTTTACCTCTATCCTAATATGTGTGTCTTCTATTTCTAGGTGGGGAATATGGGAACTGGTGCAATTGCTCTATCCCTTCCATTTTCTTGTGTCTTGGGTCTCCTTTCGTCCATGATCTCCTCGACTATGGGTACGCTTGTTCTTGACTGGACTGATAGATTGAAGACAAGTAGAAGAAACAATAAACTAGGATAACCTTTTGCTGTGGATTCTTTCTTTCACCTTACCCTCCAGTGTCTCTTATGTGCAGTGAAGAGACGATTCGTTTGGGTTTATGCGGCAATCCAATTTGCTTTGGTGGTTATCTTTGCTCACATTTTTTACTCAGTGGTAAGTAAGCAAACCTCTCTTCATGATATTTGCAAAGAAACAACAATAGATAATGCCAGCATATACAGACGAACAATCTAGTCATGGAACTGAACTATGTATCTTTCTCTTGGGGCTAATTAGGTTGGAGTGCAAGCTGTGCTGTCAATCCTGCTGGCAACATTTGCTGGGTCTGGAGTATCAATGAGTGCAAGTTCGATCATAATCGAGTTCTTGAGATGGAGAAGAAGATGGCGGCGGAATAGAGGATCAGAACAACAGCTTGGGAACAATCTGATAGCAGGAAGAGTTCCAATACCCGTGAATTCATCTGCAGTAGGCCCTCCTGCTGCTGATGCAAGGGAAGGAAACCGCCATACAATAAATGATGTAGAAAACCCATAAACCAGCAAAAGTAAGAGTCTGTAAGTCTGTATTATATGAGAAGATAGGAGCAAGTTTTCCTTTTTTACCTTTCTTTTCTCGGAAATATAGAATGATTAGATTTGTAGAGCTTCACTCAGGCTCTAAAGGTGGCCCATTTTGGTCAGATGTGGTGGGGTGACAGCTGCAGCTGGCCAGCCAGCAAAAGGAATGAATGAATGTAAGAAAGAAAGAAAGGCAGAATGATGATGTTTGTTGTGAAGTGAGAAGAGTGGATAGTTGAGTGTCCACCTCTCAATGTGAGTAGTAATTATTACATTTGGATTGAAGTTGAAACTTGTGCCTTCCAATATATGTGATATATATGCAAATACAAAAGAAAGAACAGCACATTTGCCCATTTCTTCTGTTCTTGTGTGCAAACAATCTTTCTTGTGTTTGAGTGATTCCCAAGTGCTCTTTTGCTCACTGTGCATTACCTTTTCTTTGTGGTTGATCACGTCGATCATGAACAATATGAAATTTGATCTCGTAGAGTAGACTCGAGTATGGAAAACTGGGGGGGTGACACCAAAACCAGTAATTGCAGCAAAACCAGTGCAAAAAAATAGATTGTAAAGAAAAGAACCATGGCAGAGGCAACCTTGGCGAGAGCCCAATATAAGTTTGGGCCAAGGTTCAGACAGATTATTCTATATTTTGTGCTTTGAAGAGTTGGGCCATCGTGGCCCAGGCCTTTGTTGCAGATGTAAGCCCAGCAGCGGATCAGACAGCGTCCTGTGTTATCGACTGGTGACTACCGCGCGAAGAGAAACCGCCATGGCGGGTTTCTGCTAACTAGGGCTCCAACTTTTCCGGAGAAGAAATCGGCGGCGCGGGAGTAAGAAAATGAACATGTGCATTCCGGCGAGAATCGCCGGCAAGCTTCCTCTTCTCGTCTCGTCTTCCAGCTCTTCTACTAGAGGTGGTCTTTAATCGCAATCGTCAGTCCTCTTTATCTCTCTCTCTCTCTCTCTCTTACACTCCACATTTTTAAGCTTTCTCCACTTCTTCTCTGTTTATCATTTCGCTGCTCTCAATTATTTCACTTCCATTTAGCTGCCGGATTCCCCAGAGTCGGGATTTTCCGTAATCTGAACCAGAGAAGGAGACTGGTTTCTGGGGTCGCAAAGATGATGGCTTTGAGCAGTGTGGAGAGCTGTAATGCGGAGGTGATTGAACTTGAGAACTCACTTGGCGCCATTCGGCCTGCCGTGGAAGATTATGCAGAAGAAGCCGTCGAAGCTCTCAGAGACGGCAAGGTTATAGCTTTGCCCACTGATACTCTCTATGGTTTTGCTTGTGATGCTTGGTAAGCTTCTAATTTCTTCTTCACATCTACTAGATTGGGATTTTCTGTCTTTTGAAGTTGGTTTAGAAGAAGGGTAGGGAACTTGAATTTGATTGGTATATTGGCTCGATTATGGATGTGCCATCATCAAGCCACAGTCACTGGTTCCTACTAATTTAGGGAGTTGGATAAATTTATGTTTCCTTGTCCTCTTCGGATTGAGCTCTCTACTGCCTTGGAGGGAAAGGCTCTAATTCGTGATCAAGCGTTGCTGATTCAACAAGATTCATGTTTTTATGACAGTTCTTTGGAAGCGGTAAGTAGGATTTATGAGATCAAAGGCCGTAAGCACACGAGTCCTCTAGCTATCTGTGTTGGGGATGTATCAGACATAGAGCGGTTTGCAGTCACTGACCACCTGCCTTCTGGCTTACTGGATTCCTTACTTCCTGGACCTGTCACTGTAATTCTGAGTCGAGGTTTGTGGTTAATGTCTCGTGTTCTTCATTTCCTTTTGTTTGGCGTGGGATTTGGATGGGACCTTTTTTCTCTTTGCAGGAGCTTTAAGCGTGCTTGAGAAGTCTCTCAACCCGGGATTGGACAGTATAGGTGTCAGGGTACCTGACTGTAACTTCATACGGGTGATAGCTCGGGGTTTGGGAAGAGCAATAGCCCTGACCAGTGCTAACCTGAGTGGGCAGCCAAGTAGCGTTTGCATCAACGATTTTCAGAACTTGTGGCAGCAATGTGCCTATGTGTATGATGGTGGTGTGCTTCCATCTGGACGTGCAGGATCAACGATTGTAGATCTCACTCGGGCTGGGAAGTACAGGATTCTTAGACCTGGAAGGTAGTGTATGGTTTCAAATGAAGGACAATCCTTTCTCACTTGGTTGATGAAGAGAGTTGTTAAAGCTTGTTTTGTTGCCCACTGATCATTACTGCACTTCGTGGTCTTATTATGGTGAAGCGCCAAGGAAGAGACGGTTGCAATCCTCAAAAAGCATTCGCTGGCCGAGGATGAAGCAGGCTAGCCATTTAAGGGAAGGGAGGTTCGCAGAAATCACAAATCCAGTTCTAATGGCTCCCTTCTCGAGTACACACAGAGTCTCAGCTCTTCTGCCGAGCAAAGATATCACTGTTGTGCTTACTGGATTGTGCTGTCACATAACTTCTTGGTGTGGAATGTTTAGACTTTTTGTTTGCCATCTAAAGCAAGAGTGATTATGATTCAATTCTCTCTCGGCTGGCTGCTGATGGAGGAAGGAAGGATCTTGGTACAGAGCAGTCAACCCGGGTATTGAAGTTCAAGTCGGTGTCGATCAATCATTGATTTCATCACGAGTTTATTAGGTTTTTGAACCGTTAATTTCACCGATTTGTTCCTGAGACCGTCTTATATTAGATTGGTTTCGCCAGATATCAGAATGTAAGTGGCATGTTACTACTGCTGCAATTCTATATTGGTTGTCCTCTTTGTTGCATGTGGGAATTGAGTAGCATGCCATGTTAGACCTCTTTAGATCATAGTACACAGTGTAACATTTCTCCCCAATCATCCTAACTGACATTTGGCGGAGAAATGGCCCATGACATGAACCAAAACCAGATCTTGCTGTACAAAATCAGAAATCTGAAGTCACTGGCGGGAGCAGCCATAGGAGACCCACAGTGTGTTGAAGAAATGAATAAATATAAGTCGACAACTTGAACAGTATAGGATAATACTAATAACATAATGCTGAATACTGATTATATATGTAGTATAAGCCTTTGATTAGTGTGTTTGGAATAGGTTTACTTATTAATGAATTGACCAGTGATTAGTTAGATATTTGGGAGACCACATTTCTTGACCATGCAAGTTGCTAGTCAGACCGATTGGGGACAGGAGAGGTTGGTGAAGGTGGCGGGAGTGTTTTGAGCCGCCAATTGCCACTAATCTGACACCAATTACTAATTAAGTAATTAATTTCGCGTTCGCGTGCTCCTTTCGCGACATAAAGGTATAGACGGTTGATTACAAAACGAAAGAAGCCATCAAAATCGTAACATTATAATCGAAGAACAAGATGAACAACTAACATGCTTGGCTATTGTAGTTAAGTATGGTTATATGTATCTGCAGCAACAAAACCATCAAGAATTGTTCAACATTCACAACAAGAATTAGCATGATTTTAGTTCTATTGTGATCCACATTTATGTCGAACAATTGGCAGCATAAATTTGACAGAAGGTGTGGATTGTTCTTTGCATTTGTAATTTTGGATGGCTCAAGAAAGAGAACCCAAAAGAACAGGATCAAGTATTAGATTATTATCCACAAATCTTTGCTTGGGAATTGACGAGTTGTGTCATAAAATCCAAAAATTGAGAGAAACAATAAAATATTTGGGCAGCCATTGAATATCCTAGTTTTCCACGGCCAGCCAGCGGCTGATGCTGCAGGAAGATGCTTGGCAGTCCATTTTGTCAGCTTCTCCTTCATCCCCCCCCTCCTCAAAATCCACAACTACACTTCCCGTTTCGCTTTCGCTTCCCCAAATATATAATCCAAATTGAAAGCCCCACAATGCTCGCAATCTGAATTCCCTCACTCTCACATTCATCGCCAATTCCAGACACACGCCTCTGAAACTCCCACAACCACCACAACTTCCACCCTTTTCGTGCAGGCCCTTCTTCACTTTTTCGCTCTCCAGGCTTCCCGCCACCAAATTCTCTTCATCTGAGGTAAAAAGATCAGTTCTTTAATCTCTAAGTCATCTGGGTATTGGTTCATTCAATCCGTTCCACCAGCATAATCTTGGGTTCTGGTGTTTTCATGTGTTATTAGAAGGCCACTGATTGGGTATTGAATTGTTGATTGTTATGTGTAGAGCGAGTGAAGGCTGTGGAAATGGCGACGGGAGCTGTGCCGGCATCGTTTACTGGTCTCAAGACTGGGGACACAAGTTTGGGGTTTGCTAAGAACATGGACTTTGTGAGGATCTCTGATGTCAGGAGGATCAAGTCTGGTAGGAGAAAGATCTCCATGATCAAAAACTCTACTGTTGAGCTTCAGCCTGCATCCGAGGGCAGCCCTTTGCTTGGTAAGAGATACTACTAACCATATATTAATCTATGGGATTCGATTGAAATTATGTTCTGTGATTGATGGTTGTTTGTTTGAATCTAGTTCCGAGGCGAAAATACTGTGAATCAGTAAACAAGACTGTTAGGAGGAAAACCAGCACAGTGATGGTTGGAAATGTGCCGCTTGGAAGTGATCATCCTATTAGGATTCAGACCATGACAACTACTGATACTAAGGATGTTGCTGCAACTGTTGAACAGGTGCGTTTCGGATTTACAAAAATCTAAGTTCTTTGGGCTATTGCTTCGGATTTACAAAATCCTTGACTTAATTTTGATGTGTTAGGTGATGAAAATTGCTGATCAAGGGGCTGACATTGTTAGAATAACAGTTCAAGGGAAGAGAGAAGCAGATGCCTGCTTTGATATTAAGAACACTCTTGTGCAGAAGAAGTGAGTTGAAAAAGGGAAAAAATCTGCTCTTTAATTTTTTGTCGAAACTCAGTATTCTAGATCAACCTTGTTGCTAATGCTGCCTTGATTTTTTTGCAGTTACAATATACCTCTAGTGGCAGATATTCATTTTGCTCCCTCTGTTGCATTGCGCATAGCTGAATGTTTTGATAAGATTCGTGTGAACCCTGGAAACTTTGGTACGTGTATTTGTTGTTTAATTATAGGCCTTCATGTTTAGTGGATATTTTGAATCAAACAAAGTGTGGTTGATTGCAGCTGATAGGCGTGCTCAGTTTGAGCAGCTGGAGTACACAGAGGATGATTATCAGAAAGAACTTGAGCACATTGAGCAGGTAGAACCCACTCCTGCATAAAACCACTTCTTAGTTTACATTCATAAGCATTAATTCGCTCATGATTATGTTATCACTCTGGGCTTCTCTGCATCAGGTTTTTACTCCATTGGTGGAGAAATGTAAGAAATATGGTAGGGCAATGCGTATCGGGACAAATCACGGAAGTCTTTCTGATCGTATAATGAGCTACTATGGTGATTCCCCACAGGGAATGGTAAGAATTTCCTTCACATCTCATTGTCCTAGAACGCTTAGCTTGCTTGTCTCCTGTTCGTATGTAGTGTCCAGACTCAATTCTTAATTTGCTTTGCTCTTAACAGGTAGAATCTGCATTTGAGTTTGCAAGGATATGCAGAAAATTGGACTTCCATAACTTTGTTTTCTCAATGAAAGCAAGCAACCCAGTTATCATGGTCCAGGCATACCGTCGTCTTGTTGCTGAAATGAATGCCCTGGGTTGGGATTATCCTTTGCATTTGGGTGTCACTGAAGCAGGAGAAGGCGAGGATGGAAGGATGAAGTCCGCTATTGGAATTGGGACTCTTCTTCAGGTACATTACCGATCCAAGCTGTTCTGATGCTCTTTTACTCCACTAGCAAATTTGGTTCATTGCATCTCTAATTGGTATGTTGAATGTTCAGGATGGTTTGGGCGATACGATTAGAGTTTCACTTACAGAAGCACCAGAGAAGGAGATAGATCCTTGCAAAAGGTTGGCCAACCTCGGTATGAAGGCTGCAGAAATTCAGCAAGGAGTGGTAGGAACCTATCACATAGAGTCTCCTTTTTTTCTCAGATATTAAAACCCTCACTGCCTGATTTTCAATGGGGTCTATTTCTACAGGAACCATTCGAGGAAAAACATAGGAGATACTTTGAATTCCAGCGCCGAACTGGTCAATTGCCAGTACAGAAGGAGGTCAGTAACAGAATCTAAAAGACACACCAAATAAATGAAATCATACTTTCTAGATACTGCACTTTGCATTGTCTTGTCATTTCTCTGTTTATACTTCAACAGATAAAGACCTGACTCTTCAATATTCTTACAGGGCGAGGAAGTTGATTACAGAGGTGCCCTGCATCGTGATGGGTCTGTTTTAATGTCTGTTTCCCTTGACCAGTTAAAGGTAACACCTGTAGAGCTGTAACCTTTTTAGAGTCAAACTCTCCCTTTGGAGGACCATTTTTAACGCAGCAACTTGTAAAAATTTAACAGGTACCTGAACTCCTTTACAAGTCGCTTGCCGCAAAGCTAATAGTTGGAATGCCTTTCAAGGTTATTATTCTAAGTTAATATCTATGACAAAGAAAAATTCATGGAAGCCTATGTTTCTTTTTCATTTCTATTTACTGACAAAGAATATTATCTATTCAGGATCTTGCCACAGTTGACTCGATCTTGTTGAGAGAACTTCCTCCAGTGGATGATGTTGATGCTGTAGGCTACTGATCTCTTTCTTATTAGTGATTATGAGTTTCTACTGTTTTTTCTTTTTGGAATTACTTGTGGAAATATTAGAGTAAACTGATCTTCTGTTCCTGCTTTCTTGAACAGCGCCTGGCTCTCAAAAGGTTGATAGATATCAGCATGGGTGTAATTACCCCATTGTCTGAGCAGCTGACAAAGCCGCTACCCAATGCAATGGTGCTTGTCAATCTTAAGGAGTTGGCTACTGGCGCTTACAAGCTTTTGCCTGGAGGTGATTGCAACCTTTTTCCTGCTGGCTTAGATGCTTGTTTGCCTGAATAGACATAGTTTTCCCTGTTTGTTCTTGTTTCATTTAATTAAGTGGATAACATGATGTGATGGTTACTTACATCTCAGGCACTAGATTGGTCATCTCGGTTCGTGGTGATGAGTCTTATGACGAATTGGAAATCTTAAAGGAAGTTGACGCCACAATGATCCTCCATGGTCTACCATACGGAGAGGATAGAGTCGGCAGGGTCCAGGCAGCTAGAAGGTAAACGTTTGCATTAAGTCTGGAAGAATCAACAATGGAGTGCTTGCTTGTTCAGAGTTCACATGGTTTCAAGTTGAATTGTGACACTTTGAACTTTCCTATACTGCTGTTGCAGGTTATTTGAGTACCTACAAGAAAATGCTCTAGATTTCCCTGTTATTCACCATATCCAATTTCCATCTGGGGTTCACAGGTAAAAAACGAAGCTTTGCATGCTGCCAGTCGTGTGAGAGATGGAAATAAACTATTACGTTTCTTACTTTGAGTTGAGGCGATTAATTTATTTGCTAATTTGCAGAGATGACTTGGTAATCCATGCCGGAGCAAATGCTGGAGCTCTTCTGGTAGATGGTTTAGGAGATGGTATCCTTGTCGAAGCAGCAGACCAGGACTTTGATTTCCTGAGGAACACTTCTTTCAACTTACTACAAGGTTGCAGAATGAGGAACACAAAAACTGTAAGAAAAAAATCATCTTACTATTGAACCCCAAATGACTAAATACTCTCATTTTCTTTTCATACCTTTTCAACTAAATATCCATATTTGTGGGTTTCTTCAGGAGTACGTTTCATGCCCATCCTGTGGTAGAACATTGTTTGATCTTCAAGAAATAAGTGCAGAGATCCGCGAGAAGACTTCACACTTACCTGGTGTCTCGGTACTCGTCGCTGCTTTTTCTACTCCGTCTTCGCAACTATGACCGAAGTATTCAGCAAAACTAAAAAAGCCTGTTTGTGTCTCTTTTTTCTCTCACAGATTGCAATCATGGGTTGCATTGTGAATGGACCTGGAGAGATGGCTGATGCAGATTTCGGATACGTTGGTGGTGCTCCTGGAAAGATTGACCTTTATGTTGGCAAGGTAGCCAGCCAACCACTTCTCTCTCCTCTCAAACTTACATCCTATCTTTCTTATGAATCCTTACTGGATCTGAATTTGAGCCTAATGAGCTGCTGTTCTGACATTTGCAGGATGTGGTGAGAAGAGCGATACAGATGGAGCATGCCACCGATGCTTTGATCGATCTGATCAAAGAACACGGACGATGGGTGGATCCTGCCAAGGAAGAGTAAAGATAAAAGAAACTACTGCAGTTGGTTAGGGAGATGGGTGGGCGAAGAATAAAACAGCAATGATCAAGAGATGGAGGGGAAGAAGAGCTTTTTCATCCTTATTTTAGGCTCTTACAGTTGTAGTGTAGATGTAAATGTAAGGGCTACACAGATCATTTTAATGTGTCTCTTATCTGTGTGACCTGTGGTGGGAAATGAGAATGGATTTATGAGAAAGGAGAGAGCTTTTCCTGGACAATGTAAGAAAGCTTTCTTCTTTGAATTCCTGTTGTAATCTTAACTTCATTTTTAGTATTACACATTTCATATAATTTGACCCTCAAAAGGTATGAAGTAAGGAAAGAAAGTTTCTGCATTCTTGCCTTCTCTATTGGTCAAAGTTGATGGTGTATCCAATGTAAAATTAATTTGTATCAATCAATATTAAAAAGATAAATGCAAATCAGCACCTGGTTAAATCAGTTTTGATCGTTCTAGTGTATATTTCATAATAAGCAATTGAACTTTGACATCTACCATTTTTATTGATAAAATATGATTAATTTTGTAAAAAAAGTTTAATGGGATAAGGAAAATAACGAAAGTTTTGTTACCATTTTGTCTATAAGAGCAAAGTTTTGTGACTGTGCTTAAAATTAGCCCGAACTTAGGAAGATTGTGGCCAATTATTCACCAAGATGGAAACTTCAGGTACCAGTAGGTAAGAAAGACACCATTTATAAGGAAAGACGAGCTAGAGAACACGACTGATTTGTAGAAGAACCACCGGTCGTTTCTGTATCCTCGTACATCGTCGTCGCCACCGGGCTTTCAGTTTTCCGTCTTCTCACCGGCTCGCCGCCGATCATGCCCGACCGGAGACCGTAATTCTCAATAGGTTTGTCCTCCTCGCTCTGACCTCTGTCGAATTTACTGCTGTTTGATCCTACAAGAACGGAATCCAACTCGCTACGATCTCCATTCTGTTAATTACGGTCACAAAGCGGATTGGGCACTAATTTGCTTGTTCTCTCTCTCTCTCTCTCTCTCTCTCTCTCTCTCTCTCTCGATTTGGATACTGTGATCTTAGAGTAGATTCATTCATGTCTTTTCGCTGTTTCCCGGGCTTGAATCGGTGATGCAGGAATTGGTAATGGGAATCAGTAAAACCGAGATAGACTTGAGGAGGCTGCTCGACGCTGCCCCGCGGCAGCAAAATCAAGCCAAACTTGTTCATGTATGTTGTTCTGATGCGCCTCTCCGACCTTATGCGAATGCACATTGCTCATCATCTCTTAGTGAATGGTTTCTTTGCAAATTGTACGTTTGCGAGAGAGGAATTGATGCATATGGTGTAGCTTTCTTGCAGTATGTTGCTAGTCTGCGAGAACAATTGGAGAATTTGGGTGCAGAGAGAACTCCAGATGGTTTGCCTAGGTCAGTATAGTATGGTTGGTTCAGTTATTTTGGTTGACCTTTTTAATCAGAGGGTTTGGATGGGTTGTGATAACAAATAAGAGGAGGATGAATTAGGCCGACTTTTCGAGTTGTTAGTTCTTCAATACTGCCGAATTTGGTTCCTGTTGATCCTGATTCTCATCTAGTGACGGGGAATTGTTATTCCAGTAGCAGCTATTTGGGACATAGGATCTTATTTCTGAGCTCATCTCTGAGACTTGATTTCTGTCATTCTTTGTTTGTAGGGTTTCCAAGACCAAGGTAAATGATTATTCAGAGAGGATTGAAGCAATTGCTTCTAAACTTGCGGCTGCACCATTGGTGAGTTAAATAGGAGATGAAGATGTTCCATTTGAAATCATTGGCATATATACTGTATACTCTTGCTGCGCCGCAGTAATATTGTTCTCCTCATGCCAAACAACAAGAACATGTAGTGTAATGAGTTCTTGAGGAAGAGTAGGCTATTTCCTGGAACTGTAGATTTTAGATCAGCTCCTGTCATGTGTTGGAAATTATATTATGGACGTAAGGACCAGGATGAATTGTAGAGGAGGTGCTTCATACTGACACTAGTTGTTTCCGTTTTTGTTGATTTCAGCCCGAGATTAAAGCACCAGTGGAGCCTATTGCTAGTTCTAGCAGGGGCAGTCTTACTGTAGAGGAAGAAAATCGCCTTCCATCCTCCCCCGGTTTGAGAAGGAGAAAGTGAGTGAAAACATTGCTCTTTTTCCCCCCAATTTACACGAGCTCCCACTTGGTGTTCTTTTCCCTTCTCTCCGATCGCTTCTGATTTGCAAGGCTTCTTTTCATTTGTCCTGCTCTCGACTCGTCGCGCATTAAACTACAGACAACTCTCAAACGTTGAAGACAGAAGTCACGACAGTGCTCACGGGGACTCATCCACAGCCCAAGTGAAACTGGATGCTGCAGCTCACATGCACATAGAAAAGCACAGGTTAGTGACTACTTTTCGACTCTCAGTTGGTGCCTAACTGGGATGTGGCTGGCTAAATAGAAGTAAGAAAGCCTTAAACAGGAAGGCATGACGCAGAGAACCTCTATAAACATAAAGCTTCGTCAATTTTCCTTTAGTTGGGCATATTGTACCTTGTCCATGCTAGAAGCATTGAGAAAGCAGATGACACATCTGGCCTAGATCTTCTCTTCCTGCAACTTGTATATACCTGAAACCAAAAGCATTTCTATTTTCTACTGCTGCTTACAGAAAGCTTCAAGAGGACCTGACAGACGAAATGGTTGTCCTGGCACGACAACTGAAAGAGAGCAGCCTGATGATGCATCAGTCAGTGCAGGGTGCTGAAAAGGTACGCTCGAGAACCACTCTCTCTCGTCTAACGCCTCAGTAATCACGAGCTTGGAATTTCTTTCTTATCTACGCGATAGTAAGAAGAAAAAAAATGATGCGAAGTGCAGGTACTGGATTCGACGGAGCAAGCAATCGAGCAAAGCTTGGCAACCACAGGCCATGCTAATGTCCGGGCTGCGCAAGTCGTCTCTCAAAGCTCCAAGACCTCATGCCTCACCTGGCTTCTCCTCTTCGCCATGATTTGCATCTTCGTCATGGTCGTGCTTCTCATTCGTGCCACCTAACGGATACTCTTTTTTGGTTTGTTCGGGAAAAAAAAGGTTTATTTGTTCCCTATTTCATATGGTAAATACGTGCTCTAATTCGCAGGAGTTGCTTAACAGAATCATCATTTTGGTAACGAAATTACGAGTTCATTAAACAGTTGTTAATGACTCCGGAATAGAGTATCGATATGGACGACTTCCATTCTTGTATAGAGTTTATAGATTCCATTTTCAGGTTCCTATTCCTAATTCGTTTTCGAGTGACTACTACTTAATGAAATACTTCTTATAGTCTATTTGGCTGAAGCATTTGAGCATTTCTAAAATGAGGTATTCTGCGTCGAATAATCGAATTCAATACTCATGTATGTTTTTGTTTATTAAAGGTTGCTTGTCTCTTACCCATACAAAATTAGAGGTGTCAAATGGATTGGATCCATGGATTGGTGGATCCATAGATCAAATGGATTGGCGGATTCATGGATTGGATCAAGTGGATTGGTGGATTATCCATGAATCCAAAGGACATCCCGACCTTGGACCAATATGTAAAATATGAAAAGTTTAGGTATTAAAATGTCATAATGAAAATTTTTAGGTACCAAAATGTAATTTTCCAATGATATATTTCGTATAAAAAATTAAATTTTGGGTTCCAAAATGTAAAATATAAAAATTATGGGTACCAAACTGTAATTTGCCATCTGGATCCATGGATTGATCCATGAATCCACCAATTCAATTGGATTTGGATCAAATGGATTGGATTTAAATGGATTGGATTAGATGGATATTTTTAATGGATTGATGAATTGAATTGGTGGATTGGATTGAATTGAGAATTGCCACCTCTATACAAAATAAAAAAGAAAACGGGAATAATACATAGCACACAACCTATTACCGAGCTCAAGACACATCCCACATGACACACATCCATTTAAGAATGATCTCATTCATCCTCCTCTCACTTTTTTGGATGGCCCTAAGCATCCCCATCCATGTAATAGAACACTTTCTTCTGAATTTGATGTATCACAATCAAAAAAATTCATGTCAATCTTGATTTGAGTTAAATTCGGTCGAAAGTTCTTTTTCCACCTAAATAAAATGAGGGAAACATCTGGACTTGTTTTTAATCCTGTTGGAGAGGGATTCTCTTTCAAACCATAAATGTTATGGGTCTTCGTTGAAGATCGGTTAGCATGACGCTCGTATTCAATACTTCAACCCTGAAACACTTGTGCTACATTCAAGGTCATATATCAAGAAGGTTAGTCCTATAGTTAATCCCTTGATCTCCAACTCAACTCTATCTTTTGTTAATTAATTCTACATATACCAAAATAAACTTGGCTAGTGTTTAGATAAGCATAAAAATGTGCCTAAACCATTTAATTATGCGTCTCTTGATCCATAATATTTGAATGCACCAACGGCTACACCTTAACCAACACACGGTAATCGAATTAACTACCAAAATAACTGGGCTAGCGTTTAACAATGGTATTTACTCTCTCTGTGTTCAAACAATAATATCTATCACTATACAACCGGAACCCCGCTGATTGCCAATCAGCAACGAACATGAACTCAAGCGCGGGACGAGCCCCAAACAGGAACGCCGGTGACCACTCCGCCGCCACCGTAATTGCTCCGGCCGCCCACCACCGGCACTCCCACCTGCATTCTCCACGAGGGCGGCGGCGCGCCCCGCGTAGCAGAGTACGTGGAAGAACCGCCGAACCCCGCCGCCATCACCTCCTTCCTCGCTGCCGCGGAACAACTACCTCCTCTGCCACTACCGCCGCCGCCGATTACCCTGACCGAGAAATTGACAATCCCGTTCTTAACCCCTCGCGGGTCCCGCAGCCGGTAGCTCAAAAAATGCAGGTAATCCTCCGGCGTCAGGTCCCCCAATAAATCGGAAACCGGGACCGCCACCGCCCCGACGACTCTGTTTCCCGATCCGACCCTGCACTGCACTTCCAGCGTCACCGAACTAGTCGCCGCCATCGACATCGCGACGACGACCTTCTCGTTCCAGATCGGGTAGCTCCCGCCGTCGGAATCCGCCCCGGTCGACACGCAATTCGACGGGTCGGTTCTCACGACGGCGAAGGCGTTCTTCCTGACGGGCCTCCCGCCGTCGAGCCGGAGGTCCTCGGCCGAGAGGATCGTGAATTCGAGCGTCCGTGTCGCCATTGGGGAAATTGAATGCTGATTTTCGGGGAGAAGGGAATTGAATTGAGCTATGAAAGGATCGATGGTTTGAAGGTTTTGGGATTGGTGGTATTTATATAACGGCGCCGGCCGACGCGGGAAATCGAAGGGAAGAGAGGAGGAAAGTCCCCGGCAGGTCGAGCGTGGGTTCGTTTCCGTTTACGAGTTAGGTTTTACCAAAGAAATTGTCGACGTGTTTGCCGGTCCAATTCAGCCCAACGCTCCGCTGGACTTTTCCGTAGTTCTCTAGCGTTTTGGTCAACAACTCATTGAGTGCTAATTGGGCTTGGGCCTCGGTGACCGTAGATAGACAAAAGTTCAACTCTACAGGCCCAGGAAAAGGATCGAGGTGAATAATCAAAAACCATTCCGTACGTAAACAATACAAGATCAATATAAAATACCAATCATATAATGATGATTAAACCAAAATTACGAATCCAATCGTAATTAAAATTAAATCGGAAATTAAAATTAAAAAAAAACTAGAGAAATATATCAATTAATTACTATATAAACCACATCTTTTGTTTCTTCCCTTTTCTTTTAACCGTGGGAAAAAGAAAAAAATCCGTATTTACCGGCGGTGGGAGTGAACCGCGAACCGTCGCCGTTTCCAGGTTGTGGTTGCTTTCATCCTCACAGGAGATCCGCCCTGGCGGCGGAACCGAACTGCGCCCTCCTCAAATTCTGCTGCCTCTTGCGGTAAACCATCCCGCCGATCCCGACGACGCACACCGCCGCTACTAGTCCCACCGCGATTCCCGCCTTCTTCCCGCCGCTCATCCCGGACGAATTCGCGATCTCGCCGTCTTCCGTCGCCATCGCGCTGCCGCTCTTGTTCCCGTCCACTGCTTCCGATGGGGAAGGCGCTGGAGAGTTTTCATCAGCTGGAGTCGGACTCGGAGCAGGACCGGAGGCAGGGGAGTGTAGATCTGAGGTTGGAGGCGCAGGAGGCGAGAGGTGCGGGGAGTTGGAAACGGGGGATGGAGATCCGGATTCGGGAGATGGAGTAGGAGAAGGAGAATTGGGGTCGGAGTCGGCCGGGGGTGATGGATTGGGAGTCTGTGCGGCGGTGGTGGCGCTGAGTGAGAGGGAGCCGAGGAGGAGGAAGACTAGAAGAAGCGATGACTTGGTCGCCATTGTAGTGGGGAAAAACTCAGATCTGAGAAGGAGAGTGGAAATGCAGTTGAAGGCGGCGGCGAAAGGAGAGTCGCGGATCGGATCTGAGGGGTTTGGCTCTCCTCTTTCAATGGCTGCAGGAGTTTGCAGATCTGTGGAAAGGAAGAAGAAAAAGATGCTTTCATTCAGTAAAGGTCGGAATTTGGCGGAATTTAATAATAAAAGAATTTAGTTGAGCAACGAAATAGGACGAATGGGATGGGCAATTATCTAATGTAATTATGAGGATAATTATGGGGCCGAAAATGATATTATGTCGAGTTCTTCCTGGCCAACTTTACGATTAAGAAACGCGTTGTACGGCGTCGGATAATTAGCAGAATTGAAAGGCCATCCTGAAAAAGAAGCGGACCGAGAAAAGTATTGGAATGTTATTGGTGGGGTGGGCCAGGCCCATGCAATAGTGCAACGCAAGGGCGACACGCGAGAAGGCCCCTGAAGCAAGCTTCAGTAGTGGGCCTTCTCCCCCTAAAAAAATTAATTTAATATCGTGTGGGCCATTGGCCCACGTATCAGATATTAAACTGATAAGAACAGATACTACACTTGATCTTAGCCAAAAGGCCGAGAAAGGTATGATTTGTGCAGGAGCCAGAGCTTCGTTCTTATTCCAAGGCCTTAAGCTTTCATACGTTGGAATAGGCGATGTGGTAGCAAGTGTCTTCTTCACAGTATACAGTTGCCGTTGCACAGAATCACAGTGTTCAAGTAGAGCGAGGACAAGGTAAAGATTACGGCTTACCTGGCTTACTGTGAATTGGATCGAGCAGTTCTCATTAATGGGTTCTTCTCTGCTGTTTATGAAAGTCAGATTAGTTGCAGTTATTTTGATGGGTACAACAGAGACACTGTTGGGTGAGTCATGAAGGTAGGTCATGATCCCATACTTTTAGCTTCCCCCCCATTTGAAAATGTTCATTGCCCATCTCTCTTCTGTGTTAGCAGAAGCCTTAAGTTCAAAGTTCTGTAATATATGCAGAATGTATTGGTTGTGGAAGAGACGTGGGTTAAGGCCAAATGAAGCTCAGCAGCAGAAAAAGCTGGCCACTAGTGATATTTGGATATTGGATCCAGTATCATATTGCATACCACACGAAGGGGATTAGCTATTTAGTTGAGTAGTTTGAAATTTGATTGTAATGTTGGAAATTGATTGATCTTCTTTCTGCAGAAGATTGTTAAACTATCTTCTTGCCAGTAGGCAAGAGACATTGCATAAACGCTGAGTGCCTCTACAGAAGGATGATCAAAACTAGAGTCTCCCTTCTTTAACATCTTCAACTAGACCAATAGAACATGTAAAAAAGAATACTCTTTGTGTATGTACAATCTTGTGATAGACAAGTCCTTTTTGGACTAAACAACTTTGTCAAGTACATGATCCCTTCAACCAGGTGAAAAAGTTCTAAACCTGTTGCTGGTGTGACTCTATATTGCAGGTAAACTCGAGATTGACAACGTTCATGAAAGGTGGGCTGTCAGGATTCCTAGACATTGGTAGCTGAGCAGGTGTGTCCCATGGTTAGGAGCTCAATGGAATCTTTTGCACGCTTAGCTTGCTGATATATATGTAATTGTATTGATGGCATTATGAAATTGGGAAGCTATTAGCTAAGGAAGTGGATCTTGCCTTTCTGTAGGGAAGCAGCCATGTCAGAAAACAATAACAATAGAACTTGAGGTAAATAAATTGGAACAGCAACCCACTCGTGCAACATGATTAAACTAAGTTTGGAAATTAGCTGGAGTGCTGAGTTGACAGGAGACACTGCAGTAAATACCGCTGAGAAGATAATGCAGTTGGTTAGATTAAAATCCACTCATGCATTTGAGATCAATAAATGGGAGACAGGATCCCATACAATTAGATTTGAGCTTTCTCTGCAATCGTGGGAGGTTGATTAATTTAATCAATGAGTTGGCTGTTAGAGAACCTTTGGAAGGCAAGATCCACTAAGTATGGTTTCTCAACGTGTTCATTATTGCCTTTGGACGTGTGAAGAGTACTCATTTCTGCAATAATTAATCTGGTTTAGTCAGTCTTCCACGTGATTATGGCTCCTCTTTAAATTTTCATCAGCTCTTATTTACCTTTCCTGTCTGAAATGATCACCTGAGCTGTTTTCACTGTTATTTTGTGGTAATCAAAATGGACAGAAGGTGCAGACTGGTAGACAAAGCAATGAATCAAAAGAGATATATTTCTAGGAACTTGGGGACCGTGTATATTTATGGATTTGAGTATCAAAGTTTTCTATACAACTTGTACAAAGTATTGTTTTGAGTATGTAACTACAGATTGTGGATGTTGAGAATGGAGGCTCTTGTTTTGATCAAACGCCTAAAGAGGCTCTCAACTCCTTCCTCAAGATCTTGAATGCACGGCTGCAAGTTCTTCAGGTGAACTTGGACCTCCTCACTAGATTTGTTCATCTTCAAAGAGGCATCCACGTCTGCAAATTCATTCTCACTTGCTGTGGAAACCTTTTTCAGCTTGGAAATCAATGACCAGCTGCTTGGCTTGGAGCTTGATTGAGAAATGAATGTCAACAAGCACTCCAAAACCTCAACAACAGCAGATTCAGCTTCCTTAAGCATGGCGATCGTCTCCACGCTGTTGGATGGAGTGGATTTCTTGTTTTCCACACCTTTCAAGACCTTCTGGATTGTTTTCATAACAGACTTCCTAGATTTCAGGTACCTTCTGGTTTCTCCTTCCAAACCATCTTGCTTTCTGCGAATAGCGGATTGAAGTTGAGCCACAGACTCTTTCATCTGGGACAAACCATCCTTGGCAGTGCTGCACAAGTCCAAGAGCCTCAGAGACCCATCCAACAGCTCATTGAAGCACTTCTGGTCATTGATCAGGGCTTGTTGAGTTGCTGGCAGTTGGAACATCTGGTCAACACAATCATAAACACCCTGAAGGCTGTTCAAGTTGTGGCCTATGGACGATGATGAAGATGTGGAAGCAGCTTGAGACTGTCTCAACCTGCAAACTTGCTCATCGATTTCTGAGACCAGTGGGTGTGATCTAGCAGGCAAACTGTTGGAGCGAGCATGGAAAGAAGCTGCTGCCATTTCTTTTTTTTCTTCTTGAAATGAGAAGATGTGGGGAAGGGTTTATAAGTTGAAGAGAGATGGTTTGCAATGCCTTCCTTGGAATCCAGAGCTTGTTTATATAGATGGTGAGAGTAGTGAGTCAGGCTAAGGGACACAAAGAGACAAGAGGAATCAAAGCCATTATCTTTCCATGTGCAGATGTGATATTATTCAGCTTCTGATTTCAAACTTGCATCCACCACACTTACCGGCATTGTGTCTCTGCAATGTCCCTTGCCTACCAAGTCACCCAACTCATTGGGCATGGAGCTTTGAAGCAGTGGATGAGTCATAGGGTGGCCAAGATCCATACTTTTCCCTTCCCCATTTAAAATATCTATTGCCCATCTCTCTTCTATGTTAGCAGAACCCTGGTTTTGCTGTGTAAGCAGCATAGGGCACAAGGCATCTCTAATAAGCTGCCACATTAGTTGTTCTTCAGGGACAGCTGCAGAATCAGACAATCCAACAATTTCTTTATTGTAAGCTTTTGAATTTACATATACGTGGCTCTGTTTCCATACATGCAGTAAGTTTATTGTGGAGGAGAGGGTTGGGGAGGCAGAAGGATTCTCATCACTAAATGGATTGTTGTGGATCTGCAGATCCAATATTATATTGCATCACACGAGTGGGCGTTGCAAACCTCACTGAGTGGGAGACAAGATCCAAATGAGATTAGCTTAGCTTCCTCTGCAATCGTGGGGGTTCATCAGGCTGTAAAGAGCTGCTGCCACTTTTGCAACGTTAATCAAATATGATAAGCTAGTTGCGTGCTGCCTAAGCTACGGGATCTCCAAATCTCACCATCAAACACACAGCAGTGGCAAGCAGCAATTCATTGGAAGTGAAGGTAACTTTCACTTGGCAGTTTGTAAGTCTTGGGAGAAAAGCTTATAAGCCATGCTGCTGCAAACTGATGGAACTTGAGGTAAATAGATTGAAACAATAGACTAAGATATAACATATTCCCAGTAATATCAATGGCTTTGATTGGATTAGAAAATAGATACAGTAATGGTGGTTGGATAGATTAGAAAAGATCCTAATCTCCAAAACCCATTTCTGCTTCATCCATATTTTGATATTTTCATATCATTCCAAACACAACCCACTCGTGTAACAGGATTAGAATAAGTTGGCAAATTAGCTGGATTGCTGGGTTGGCTGAAGACATTGCAATTAATACCGCTGAGAAGATATTCAGTTGGTTAGATCCAAATATACTCGTGCATTTGAGATCAGTAAATGGGAGAGAGGATCCATATAATTAGCAATCATGGGGGTTGATTAATTTAATCAATGATTTTGGCTGTAAGAGAGCCAATTGGATTTGAAGTGTTAATCAGTAATTCACAGGTGGCTAACTGCAGATAATTGCAGTTCAACTATGGCTATTTCCGGAGCCAAGTTTGTTGTTCGTCATGAATTTGAGCTTCTATTGGATCCAAGGCAAGATTTTTGGCAGTTCTGTTCAGTTCTTATATGTTTGTAGTGCTTCAAAAGGAGATTTTATTGAAACTGAAGGAACTTTAGCTTCCTGGTCTGGAATCATTGCTCGTTTCCTGACAAATAGCAGAACTAAGGACAAGTAGAAATGGTGAAAGTGAAATTACAATAGCAGAAGATTATGGTTGTTCTGGTTCAATATGAGTTCATTACCAATGGAAGGCAAGATCCACTTAATATGGCTTCTCAACGTGTTCATTATTGCCTTTGGACGTGTGATGATTGCTCATTTCTGCAATATTTAATCTAGTTTAGTCAGTCTTCCATGTGATCGTGGTTCCTCTTTCATTTTCATCAGCTCTGAATAACCTGACCTATCTGAATGACCCCATGAGCTACTTTAACAATTATTTTGTCCTACAACCAGATGGTAATTAAAAGGACAAAAATTGCAGGCTGGTAGATAGAGCAATGAATCAAAAGAGACATAAATTTCTGGGAACTTGGGGACCATGTATATATATAGATTTGAGTATCAATTTTTCTATACAACTTATACAAATATTGTTTGGACTATGTAACTACAGATTGTGGATATTGAGAATGGAGGATCTTGTTTTGATCAAACGCCTAAAGAGGCTCTCAACTCCTTCCTCAAGATCTTGAATGCACGGCTGCAAGTTCTTCAGGTGAACTTGGACCTCCTCACTAGATTTGTTCATCTTCAAAGAGGCATCCACATCTGCAAATTCATTCTCACTTTCCGGGGAAACCTTTTTCAGCTTGGAAATCAATGACCAGCTGCTTGGCTTTGAGCTTGATTGAGAAATGAACGTCAACAAGCACTCCAAAACCTCAACAACAGCAGATTCAGCTTCCTTAAGCATGGCGATCGTCTCCACGCTGTTGGATGAAGTGGATTTCTTGTTTTCCACACCTTTCAAGACCTTTTGGGTTGCTTTGATAACAGTCTTCCTAGATTTAAGGTATCTTCTGGCTTCCCCTTCCAAACCACCTTGCTTTCTACGAATAGTGGATTGAAGTTCAGCCACAGACTCTCTCATCAGGGTCAAACCATCCTTGGCAGTGCTGCACATGTCCAAGAGCCTCAGAGACCCATCCAATAGCTCATTGAAGCACTTCTGGTCATTGATCAAGGCTTGTTGAGTTGCTGGCAGTTGGAACAACTGGTCAACACAATCATAAACACCCTGAAGGCTGTTCAAGTTGTGGCCTATGGACGACGATGAAGATGTGGAAGCAACTTGAGACTGTCTCAGCCTGCAAACTTGCTCATCGATTTCTGAGACCAGTGGGTGTGACCTAGCAGGCAAACTGTTGGAGCGAGCATGGAAAGAAGCTGCTGCCATTTTTTCTTCTTCTTGAAATGAGAAGATGTGGGGAAGGGTTTATAAGTTGAAGAGAGATGGTTTGCAATGCCTTCCTTGGAATCCAGAGCTTGTTTATATAGATGGTGAGAGTAGTGAGTCAGGCTAAGGGACACAAAGAGACAAGAGGAATCAAAGCCATTATCTTTCCATGTGCAAATGTGATATTATTCAGCTTATGATTTCAAACTTGCATCCACCACACTTACCGGCATTGTGTCTCTGCAATGTCCCTTGCCTACCAAGTCACCCAACTCATTGGGCATGGAGCTTTGAAGCAGTGGATGAGTCATAGGGTGGCCAAGATCCATACTTTTCCCTTACCCATTTAAAATATCTATTGCCCATCTCTCTTCTATGTTAGCAGAACCCTGGTTTTGCTGTGTAAGCAGCATAGGGCACAAGGCATCTCTAATAAGCTGCCACATTAGTTTTTCCTCAGGGACAGCTGCAGAATCAGACAATCCAACCATTTCTTTATTGTAAGCATTTTCATTTACATATACGTGGCTCTATTTCCATACATGCAGAAGGAATCTCATCACTAATGGATTGTGGTGGATCTGCAGATCCAATATTAAATTACATCACACGAGGATCCAAATGAGATTAGCTTAGCTTCCTCTGCAATCGTGGGGGTTCATCAGGCTGTAAGAGAGCTGCTGGCACTTCTGCAACGTTAATCAAATATGATAAGCTAGTTGCGTGCTGCCTAAGCTACGGGATCTCCAAATCTCATCATCAAATACACAGCAGCGGCAAGCAGCAATTCATTGGAAGTGAAGGTAACTTTCACTTGGCAGTTTGTAAGTCTTGGGAGAAAAGCTTATAAGCCATGCTGCTGCAAACAGATGGAACTTGAGGTAATTTAATTGAAACAGCAGACAAACATATTCCCAGTAATATCAATGGCTTTGATTGGATTAGAAAATAGATACAGTAATGGTGGTTGGATAGACTAGAAAAGATCCTAATCTCCAAAACCCATTTCTGCTTCATCCATATTTGATATTTTCATGTCATTCCAAACACAACCCACTCGTGTAAACAGGATTAGAATAAGTTGGCAAATTAGCTGGATTGCTGGGTTGGCTGGAGACATTGCAATTAATACCGCTGAGAAGATATTCAGTTGGTTAGATCCAAATATACTCGTGCATTTGAGATCAGTAAATGGGAGAGAGGATCCATATAATTAGCAATCATGGGGGTTGATTAATTTAATCAATGATGTTGGCTGTAAGAGAGCCAATTGAATTTGAAGTGCTAATCAGTAATTCACAGGTGGCTAACTGCAGATAATTGCAGTTCAACTATGGCTATTTCCGGAGCCAAGTTTGTTGTTCGTCATGAATTTGAGCTTCTATTGGATCCAAGGCAAGATTTTTGGCAGTTCTGTTCAGTTCTTATATGTTTGTAGTGCTTCAAAAGGAGATTTTATTGAAACTGAAGGAACTTCAGCTTCCTGGTCTGGAATCATTGCTCGTCTGCGGACAAATAGCAGAACTAAGGACAAGTAGAAATGGTGAAAGTGAAATTACAATAGCAGAAGATTATGGTTGTTCTGGTTTAATCTTAGTTCATTACCAATGGAAGGCAAGATCCACTTAATATGGCTTCTCAACGTGTTCATTATTGCCTTTGGGCGTGTGATGATTACTCATTTCTGCAATTTTCATTTTCATCAGCTCTGAATAACCTGACCTATCTGAATGACCCCATGAGCTACTTTAACAGTTATTTTGTCCTACAACCAGATGGTATTTAAAAGGACAAAAATTGCAGGCTGGTAGATAGCGGGTAGGATCCGGTGCTTAAGCCTATATGTTTAAGCATTTTGTTTAAGTCATTTTATTGGTTGATAGTGGATTAGGTAGTTAATACGGGGTAAGTAGTTAATAGGTAGTTGAGGATAAATAAGGATATTATACAAATATAATTAATATTAATAATTAATTATTCTCTTTCTCTCTCCTCCCATAACTTTCTCCATGACCCTCTCTCTCCAATGCAATTAAAAGGAAATTCGAAATTAATTTAATTAGATTTTAATATTTAATAAAATTCAAACTTAATAATATTTTCTCTTAGAAATTAAAAATTAAAAATCTTCTCTCTCATTTCATGACAACTTGCAATGTA